CGGATAAAATTTGTGAACTCTAATGTGTAATGTGCTGTAGAGATTAGCTATTCGACAGGCATGGTCAGATGGAAAGACGAGCAACCGTCAGTAATTCATGATTTTTTTACGAAATGGCGCATATGCAACCAAAAAGAAGGAAGTTTATATGTGAAAAATCCCTTACACTCCTGGCACTCTGGCAGGAATAGCCAGAAGCTTGGCAGACGCTTCCCTTCGACCACATGATTTTGACTTGATTATGTCCCTTCCTCCACTCACCTATGCGCCCGTTTCTTTACAATATGGTGGCATCTTTTAGAGGGCTATCAAATTTTATCGAGACAAGCTTTTGTCTCTCAACATAAATCAAAGTGAAATGACAACGACCACAGAAGACAAATGAAATTCCATTCGTCTTATGCCCTGCTCACAAAATTTACCTCTTTAATAGCCAAACGTCAGTGAATTCAGATTCTCATCTTTCGACATATTCACTGACTTCGAGTAAGTTATTCATTCCTTAACCCAGAGGGCAAAATTTCCTCTTCATTAACGTTGGAATAAATTTAAGGCCTCGAAAATTTCCCTGTAAACACTACTTTTTATGACTTGGTAATCTCAGTCAAATAGAGGAAGGGTGGGACAATACCGGGACCCAGTTTGGATAGACTGCACAAAAGTTTTCAATTTATGAAAAAGTGCTAGCTTCTTTGCGCGACTCGTTTTATGCTAGAACTTTGCCTGACTTATTAGAGTGTTAGGTATTAATCATTTAAAAGGCCAAATCGGGTAGCATTAATGTTCCGCCACCGATTCATAAACAAGTTCTCGTTGTTGCTGGAGCAGCAGGTGGCTGCATACATTTAAAGAGGGCATAATGCACAGTTTTGGCAGGGTGACAATTGTAGCTTACTTGAATTTAAAAATAGAAAATTTCCCTGAAATCCCGACATGTGTGTCGACTGCTCAAAGGGAGCACGAGTGGTGGAGTGGAAAACAAGAGCTAACGAGTTACTTTCCGAAAAGAAGGTCCTCTTCTTTTGCATTGTCAGTGTTCCGCAAAGAACTGGTGGTGGGTCTGAATCGGCAACTTCTCTATCCACTAATCGGGTCCGATCGTTGTGCAGCACTGCGACATAGTCAAAACATCTGCAAAAAGTAAGGGAGAAATGTCTAAAGTCTTTCGAAATCTCTATGCTATTCTTCTGGATAAATAAATTTGGAGAAGTTTGAAGTCAAAAACTTGCATTAATATTTCATGCAAAGTTTTGAATTTTTTCTGAGTTAAAGCTGTTCGTCAACGAAATGTTGTTGACCAATTGCTGCTGAATTATTTACGACAGACTTGCCGAGTGTCAAACCACCCTCTTTATGATTTACGTTACTGCGGGCTGCTTATGCCAATTTCCACGTCACTGAGAACTGCATGTATATAATTAAAAGGGTTTTTAAGAAATTTTGTGATCTACCTTCAAAACACTATAGAGAAGTGAAACTTACATGTCTATTCGAGGTGGACTTAGGTCAAGAGTTAGGAAGGTGAGCTGTACAATTTGGAATGGAAGTCCTTGAAATAGGTAGATAATGCAATCTGTTTGAGGAGGATAAGGGGAGGGGAAATTGGGAGATTTAAAGACACCATGAAGTCGCTTTACACTCGAGAATAGGTGGCACCGACAGTCTACAACAGACAGTCAAAAGTAATTCCGGTATTTCAAGAATGGCATTTTTATCCTTAAGCGGATGTAATTTGCTGAGCAAAATAGCCAGAACGATTGTCAAATTCAAGATTTTTAGATGTTCTAGTATTTCTAGCCAAAATGTTCGTCTGACAGTGAACAACGTTAAGCTGCCATTGGAAAATTTTAAGGCACTCCTAGGCAGTAGGGAAATGCTTTATTTAATATCAAAATGAAACAGCAAGATACACGAGAATTGGGGGCAATCTTCAGGTCCAAAATGAGTTTTCTTAGAAGTTCTTATAATTTTATTAACTGGTTATCCTGCAGATAAGCAAACTGTTCTCATGCCTTCCTCTACTCTCTTCCGCGCCTTTATGAAAATGCTCTGCAGTGTCCTAAAAGGTCAACAGAATATAGCAATCGGAAGCATTTAAACAAGGATAAAATCAAGAGACCGTAATTCCGAATTAGACGTCAAACATTGGCCATCCCCAATATATGCCGCCATCCTAATCTTGTACAAAAAATATTCCTTTGTGCATGTAAAACCAAGCATCATTACTGCCACTTGATTAAATTGCTAGAGCAAGCACTTCCTATCTAAATTCTGGCATTTGTCCACAAGTTTGTCACATTTTAAAATCAAAATTATTCCTGAACTGAAACAACAGCTGAACACATTTTACTATAATCTAGTGTCGGTAATGGAAACTTTCGTGATCCGTTAGATTACTTCGATTTGAAAATACGATAAGTGCATTTGTGATTGCAATCACGCATGTAGTTCCATTTTAGAATTTGGATTTCTCACACAAACAAACAAGTTAGTAAAGAAATTTTAACAGTTACTAGAAGGCTTTTTTATGACGCATCATTCTAGAAAAGGCTTATATGGGACTTTGTCTCGTGGTGGACTCGCTGCCGGAAACAAATTCACGACTGCTTTTTCCCATGGCAAATTGGCATTTTCCCAGAGGCGCTGTTAACAGTTGATCAGTGCATAAAATCATAGCTATGGGCTTGAACTGAATTTCTTTTGTCAGAAACAGGTTTTATGAAAATATCATGTCAAACGAATGATATCAGTTCAATTTAATAAATATGCATATGTTTCATTTTTATTTTTACTAAGTGGAATTGACAATAGGAGTACGAATATCGACTTACTTGGATTCTGGATGACTACTAGGGGGTCCATGCTTGGGGGTGATCGAAGACCTAAAGATGACTGACTGCAGGCAATCAGCAAAGTGAAGGTAATCAGTTTGTCTTCTGTCCCTAGGCGACGCATCATCTCAAGGAGGAGCAATTAGGGGTCGCCATTTACTTCATCAAATAGTCAGGGCTTTGTCACTTCCTGCAGTGGACATGCCCCCGTGCATTTGAGATGCACTTGTACCTCCTCCCTCCCATTGGCTGTTGTGCCTCCGACCAATCAGAGGGTTTATCAAGAGCAAGGTTTAAATAGCTTAGAAAGTATATTCGCAACTGTTTGATATTTTGCGCTTTCAAGTGCGCTCTACCATTAATGCATTAGGCAATAAATTATCTGTTTTACTTCTTTTCCTTTACCTCTTAAGGAAGTGAGGAATGCACCAAAGTAAATTGATTGCTCAAATCAAAATACCATCTGTGGATTGGAGTTCAGGGTTTCGCTGTTTGGTTGGTCTTGGGACAAGGCTTAAGGTTACTAATCAAACAGTATTTACATCTTCCTTTGACTTTGTCAAATCTCGGATGCACAAAATTCTTCGCAAAGTCAAAGGTTCTCTTTCTAAATTGATTAAAGAATTTCAGAGAATTCTATTGCAACTACTTTGGAAATGTTGTACTTGGCTCTGTTTCTGGCAAATCGAATTAATTACTTATTTAGTATTTTTAGTAAATCATTAAATAGGGTTACAGTTGAGTACTCAAAATTCTTCTGTAGTATCAAGCGAGTGAAGGAATCCTTTTGCAACGTTAACAATCTCATTAATTTTAAAGCGATTATTGCAAAAGTTTGTTTTAAATTTTAGAATGCTAATAATGTATCATATGCATTAATAACCCTAATTCATCCTTTCACAATCGAGTCACATATAAGTGACGTCGCGACTTTCTTTTTCTTGAGCCCAGCGCCACAACTGCACGGCATGTCTGAAGCGATCCGAGACTTCCCCAGAGACAAAAAGAGGGATAATGCTGAGGCTTTCAGGAGGGCTGGGGTCTACTGACATGGTCCAGGGTCCATACCGCCCAGCGAAAATACAGAAGCGCCCAAAATGGAGAGTTAAGTATATTATCAAAGTGCTACGCATAGTTTTATCAACTTGTGTTATCTTTTTGCAAAAAAACCTGTTATATCAATTTGGATGAATTTAAGACAATAAAAGGGGTGTTTTCTGGATGGGGGTATTTATTGTTCTCCTCAACTAGCAAATTTATTCTAAAGAAGAATTCATGATTTTAATTTGTAACAGAACGGTGTATGTCTAGAATGAGTATTTAACTAGGCGAGCTCCTCGGTCTCCATAATGTGCACTTCCGTTTGAGCTGTCTAGTCTTCCGGTTGCGCCTAGGGCCTCTCGATCCTTCTGCATGGTGATAACTAGCCTCCCATCATGGCATGGCTTACTACGGCTTCATGGACGGCATTAGACAAGAAATTTTCTGTTCTCACTATTCATGAGTTTAAGCCCCCAAAATTTGACTGCTTTCTGGCTCGGCTATTTATCTAAATTTTATGGAGAGCATTCCCTAAATGTAGAACATGCTAATCAAAAGTAACGAAATGACGAATAGGACGGCAGTTAAAGGAGGAACAATTGCAGACGTGATATCAATCATTCACTTACGAAATAAAAACTCAACACCCCTTTGATCCTAACGAAATTTAAGCTCACACTAGAGTGGGCAGAACTCGGAACCTTCGTTCCCCAGTGGCGCGCCTTTACTCACCTTGGTAATCTTCGGAAACGGGATACTTTTCATCTCCACTTCACATTGTCTGATTTGAGAAGCACATGAGTTGCTCCAGACCTCATGATCGGTCTCAGCCTTTACCCAACTGCTCTTCAGAAACTGCCAAGAGAATATTTTCATTACAATAATGCTCAATCTGTATCAGGATTTTTCCATTCTTCCTTCTTCTACTTACAAGATTTGCTTCTTGTCAAGAAATTAGCAGAGAAAGAGAATAGTGAGCACTCAATTAGCAGTTGAAAGAATTATATTTTGATTCTCTTTTCTAATGCTTCTTCTTTTAACCCGGATTTTTCATTGTCTCTACCTGCAGCATTAGTCCAATGCTTTATTTATTTCCGTTCTACATTTTTTCATCGAATTTAAAACATTTTGAATGTTCTGATGGGTAAATTTCAAGGGATATTATTGAGCAGTCACTGAATTCTACCACCTTGTCCTCCACTCCAAGGAAAAAGTTGTTGTGGCCTTGATGGGCATCAAAAAGTGGATGGAAGAAAAGGGACGCTGAGGTGATAATTTTAACTTCTACTCAAAAATAAACACTTACCCGCAAGTCTGCGTGGAAGGTGAGTTCCACGGAGAGATAATAAAACAACTTTTTGATATTCTTGTTATTCTGTCTACTCTTATTTGCGTTGAAGTGATAATTAGAGGTTTGTCTACATAAAGACAGCCTACAACGGATGTGTCTCAATCTAAATAACTTCAATATTCCTAAAATTTTAATGGGGAAAATAATTGTTATTTGTGTTTAGATCCCAAACAGAAGGGATAGAAAGGGACTTTATTTTTTGTGGCTAGGGAAAGATAGCATTAAAAGGGAGATGGTATCAGACGGCACCATCGATCTGTGCACTTAACTTCCCCTTCTTCCTCCGCAGTTACGACGTTTCTGGTATCGATGACTCCATCGTATCGATATTGTGTTGCTTTGTCCGCGGTCTATCAAAGGATCCAGCAGGAAAAACTTCATAGTAAAAGGGCTGTTTTCAACAGTCCCTGAAACACCTCAACTTATCTGGTTGAGCTGTCGGCTATTTAAAACACAGGAAACTTGCGTAAAAGATTTAAAGAGTGATGCCCGCCACTCCTGATTCCTTAACAGCCAAGTTTATTCCATGCAGCGGTTACAAGCCGTTACTTCGACGTGCAAACGCAGTTTCTTCAGTGATTTCTGAAGATAGGGTGGTTGTTAAAATGAACAGGAAAGAAGGCCACCAAATGTATTCGCAAAACTACAAACAAAATCGACGTTCTTCACTTACACATACGTTTATCAGTACTCGGCCCACCAAAAATTCGAGGCTTGTTGGAAACGTACTGCTACTGTATTAGGTAGGAGTTTGTTCGTGTGGGTGTGTATTAACGCCAAGACTTCCTGCCCTCCGCTGGAGTGATTTTACCGAAGTACGAAGCAGCACTTCAGTAAATGAAATTCAAGTCGCCTTTTGTCCAATTCACTTAATTACTTATGCGCTGTTAGTCGTATGACTGGGATCTAAGAAAACGTCTTCAATACTGGGGAATCGCCGCTTTTTGCTCGTACCTTTTAAAATTGGACACTCAACATAGATCTAGTTTTGGTGTGTGTGTGTGAATCCAAAGCTAGAAAGCTCCCCTTTCAAAAACATATAATTTGAGTCTTTACTTAAATTGCCGACGAAGTAGGGCATCAGGAATTTTACTTTTCTAAAATGGACTTTATAAGTTTTATTTTACAGAATGCTTACAGTTGAAGATGTAATAACGAGGAATGTGTACCTTAAACACGCCTTAATTGCCATTGTCAGTTAATTTACCACGTGTAGGAGTTTTTGCCCTTTCGGTAGGTGACATGTCTGCAGTTATGGGTTTAATTATTTGACGTCGCAGCCCTCTCCGTCTCGAGATAAATGATTAAACGATTAATTGTCGTTGGCGGCAATCTTTTCGCTTACCTGTAGAGTGGTCTCAGAGCGCTACATTATTTAGCTACCTAGCCTTAAAGCATAGGTTATGGGCACCGAAGTACAAAGTTTGCGTGTTCACTTGACTACAGGTCTCAAAGGTTAGTGCAAAACGTTGTACAAAAGTGGTGACAAGTGCTGGTGCAGAACACTGTAGGATATTGAAAGCAGGCCAATCTTGGAAGTCCTAATCTGGATGGAAGGCAGCAGTGATAGTGCCTGCACGTATTGAGAAGCGGGCAGAGCGAAAGTCTTGAAGTACGTATCTTACGTCATTCATTACAAGACGCAATATTCAGCGGACATCTGCTCGTATGAAAGACTTCTCTTGCAGTACGGCACAGGTATGGGACTCCCAGCCGTGAAAGAGAGAGCTCATTGTTACCGTAGTAGTCGAAATCTATGGCAGCCATTCCTGTGAGCATTCAACATCTCAGCGCTCGATAAATGCTTAAGCTGCAGCAGAATCTCACAATAGATGGGTCCTTTATTAGAAAAGTAGAATACAATCATCCGCAAATCTCGGAAATTTTAAAATTTAGCTTGCGGAAGAGCTTCTAGCTGCACTGTGCCAAAAAAATATCTTAACTGGGAAAGCCAGATTCTTTTGGATCGTCTATAGCAAATAGATCGCTTTATTTTGGGACTTCAACGAAAATTCTGCAGTGAAAGCGCTAAAGTCCATCACCATTAATGGCTAAGTGAAGCAGACTCGTCTGAAATTATTCATCCATAGGGATAAATATCCCAAAGTCAAGGCCATATGCTGGCAAAAGTGTCCAGATTTAGCAGAAGGACATGTCGAAATCTAATTGCAGTCCTTCCTAATCCTCCCAAATTAGCTTATGGTTTTGTAATTTCGAAAGTCCCGGTTTGACATGAGTGGTGTTATGAAAATTTTCATTATCTCTGTAAGTGCGCAATCCGACCAGTAAATTTTATTAAAAAGTGATCATTCTTTGACCACCAAATCTCCAGTCATCGCATAAATCGTTTAACTGGGCATGCTAAAAGTAAATCTCATAAAATCCCTCACTTGTGTGGTTATTGCCTCGAAATGGCTTCTGTACTGACGTCAATCATGACTTTCCTCATGATTGACATCTATGAGCTCCCAATGCTGTGGGCCCGGTCATACTAATTAAGGTGTTTCGAGTTAAGGGAGAGATAAAGACAATTGCTAGAATACATGTGAATATAAAGGTCTTATCCTCTTCTAAATCATGCAGGTCAGAAGGCCCATGTTAAAGTGCATAAGGCGCTGCCAAAGCGGCTACCTCAACCGGAAGGATTTGCATCCACCCTCCTAGTAGGTTATCCCAAAGAAGTGAGCTGTTTTGCCAGGTCTCTTGCCTATTTGATGGAATTCTCATTGACAGCGTTCGGAAATTCATGAATCAGTTGGAATTCTCTTAATGTATCATCGCCACGAGCATTTGTTTCGGTACATCTGGCTAAAGGCACGAGCTTTGTTGTCAACTTTGATATAAGGCTAATGATAAATCTGCTTCCCCTCTAACATTCATTCTGAGGGGGGGCAATTTGCGCTTCCATTGGAAAGCCGCCAGCCGCTGCCTTCAATCATTAGCCCAAACGTCTTTCTTGGTTAGAGTCAAGATAATTATTTTAGTGCAGAAAAATTTTGGGAAATTTTTCAGTAATAGTTACTTTAAATCAAGATGTACGGACGATCGCATGGTCAATTTTGCTGCGACTTAAATGTTTTTCTTTGGGGGTAGGGGTGACAGGATACTTGCGCTGCCATGTCTACTACTTAAATTCAAAGAGTAAATAACACTAATGACCGTTTTCTTGTTTACATATTACTATGAAGGCGAAATCCTCCGTTAATAGACACTTCTTATTCAATCCAGCCTACCAAGTCATCATTTCATCTTTATGTTTATAGGTTTCGCTCCTCAGGAATTCGTTTTATCACCTTTCGCCAATTTGGCATCGCCCGCTTCACTACTTACTAATGATAAAGTGTAGAGTGGCTCTTCTCAATAGAAATCCAAATGCAAAAAATGCTACAAACGTAATCTTACATAGCTTTACTGAAATGGAACACTGGCCCAAACCTACCCCTTGTATGGTAGGTCAAAACACTAAACCAAAATTTGACAATTTTATTTTGGCGCAAGAATTAGAGAAGTCGAATGAAAAAAAAACAATTTAATCACCACAATGTCGCAAAGAAAGCATTTGTGATATCATATGATATATGACAAGATCCACCATTGTAACTGAGGGGATTAATTTGAAAGGGCGTTTGTCATTCACGTGGACTTCCGCCTCCACCTTAATTTAAAGCCACAACGAAATTAAATGGGAAGTGTCTGTGAAAATGCTTCTTTTCATCCGAACAAAAGCTGTCTTTAGGCCGTAGGTAAACTATGCAGTGTCACTTTTTTAAAAAGCTGAGAATTTCCTAATGACCATCATTTGAAAAATTTTGATTTTCTGTTTTAACTGTTTTGGTTCCGCGAGCACTGAGTACTCCGCTTTCGTATTTTAGCTAGGCGGAATGGCATCAGGGCCATGGCATTAGCCCTTTAAGCCTACTACACGTCTGTGAAACAATTTCTGTCTCAGTGTTATGTCCTTTTCCTACTTCAGGGAAGATTCGAGCAAACGCATGGGTGTCAGCGGAAAGCAAACCTGATCCTAAAGGACAAGTGTCCTTTCACCCATTGCTGAATGCTAAACCTTAACGTAACAGAAGAAGAACTTATGCTGCGGATGGGGGAATTTGTGGCGATCCCCATTGAGAAGATTGAAAAATAACGCCTACCTTCGGCAACCATCTTGGTCCCGTGTTTTGCATGACTGCTATTAAAAGTTAAAGCAGCATTAGCTGTGGTCGTGATACATCCGGAAAATTGGTTCCGGAGCTGTTCACAGTACCTGTATGAAGATGTTGCTGAAGTTACACATGATGTCTCCTTCAGCTCTTTACCAGCTAGATAGAACTCAGATAGATATGGCTGGGCAGAACTGAATTAAAAAAGCTGTAGGGAGAAATGGACGCAAATCCTTGTCCTCATGAAGTTATTTTATATTTTATTCCTAATTAAATTACTTACCTTTTGGACAAGTGTTCTTACATCTATCGGTGGATATAGGAGGTGGACTTCACATTTCCCTTCCAAAACAGGCCGTAACCCCAGGCGCAGTAGAATTGCCAAGAGGGTTCAGTGACACTGGTACGATTGTATCATGGATGTATTTCTTACATCTCTGACAACATTGTGGTGACCGACGGGGAGAGCAACAAAGGGAAGCGCCGGGGTAGACGCTCAAAATAACATAGAGGGATGTGTAATACTTTTGTAATTCTAGGGTAATTAAGGCTCTGCTTTTGTGCTTCCGCTGGCTAGCATCACCTCCGAGCCATGTCACTAGCCCCCCAGGCCTTCTGTACGTCGGTTATGCATATTATGCCCTAGTATTGTCTCCTTTCGTCTTCGAGGATGTCTCAAGCTTTACATATATTACCACGCAGAGCTCAATTATTTAGCGTTCTAATCTATTAAAATTGAGGAATTAATATTAAAAAGTAGACAATTTTGGTTTTGAAGACATAAATAATCGAAACGCTTGTTTGAAAATTATTTTCGAAGACTCTTGGTTTAAGGAAATTTCACGAATCTCAAGCCGGAGGGATTTGGACCGTCGACGAATCCAAATTGGGCAAATAATTCACCAACATCGAGAGCGTTGTATGCCCAAAACCCGACCATTTATGGAGGAAGGCTTTGAGTGCAATGAAATGGGATGACATCCTTTAACCTAGGAAAGAAGAAGCAGAAAAACAACTAGTTTAAAACATGCATTAAATCATCCAGCTCTCTTTTTGGCTTCGCAGTGTGACAATGTGGGAGGACTACTGAACCACTTTTAAATTCATTTCCTTTTAAACGCTACTGTTTAAAAAATTAGATTTTCTGTCCATTTTAATCTTTGTCGAGTCTTTTCTTCCCTTGATTAACATGGCAACTGGTTGGTGTTTTAAAGGTTACGACCGCTATTAGCACAAACTAATGTAGCACGGTAGAATAGTTAATCTGTGAAACGATTAGTTTCGTCAAATCTGCTTACAAAAAGGGGAGAAAGAACATTCATGTCATGACAATTTTTTAGCAGGGATTCGAGTCACAATATTATTTATCTGATGGGCTGAGTTAGGGAGGAGAGTCGACCTATCACTGTGATATCGCAAGGGCGGTGCGCAGGAGAAATCCTTTCTCGTGACAGGCAAGGTGGTTATCTTGATAACTATAGGAAAAAACCAATTACAGTAGTCAGAAGGAAAAGAAAAACGGGAATATATACATGGTATGCATAATTTATTTAGTATCCTGTCCCTTGGATTAAAATTATCAAAGGTTCAAATCTCCTCGTCTCCTGAATGACGTAGGTGAAGTCAAAATGAAACGCAATGATGAGAACCTTGAAATTCTTTTCCCCACCAATGCCAAAATTCAACTACAGGAGCAGTTTTATGGGTAGGCACAATTAATGTGAAGTCTAATCACATTTATAAGAAATTTGATTTGATCATAAGCACAGGAGTTTCCCGCGTAAAAAATCCACTTGAAATGATTAGTTAAAACGCTAAAATTAATCTAAAATGCGTAATTTTGGATTTAACAGAGAAGTTAATGAAAACAACGTGAAATTGAAGTACCTCTGCTTTTACCATCAACTATCTTGTTATCCTCTCAAGCATATTTTGGAGTTGACGAGCTGCAAAGTGTGTGGAGTAAATGATGCTGAAAGTGATTTAACACCTTTTGGATAGACAGGACTAAATTTTATGAGGAAACTTAATTTAGGTATCCAGATTTATGTATTCTTTTCCTATTTAAATTATACATATTACTGACGTGTTATTTCAGCTCTTTAGACTTACATGAAGACAAAAGCTGTCAAATACTAGGATAGAAAATGTATTGCAGAAGTAGAGGAGAGCCGAGGGGCTGCTGGCGTAGACTCGAGGCCATTTCGTTAGCGGAAATAAAATTGCGGAGACCCAAGTGCCGGAGAATCAAAACGAAAAGATAAACAAGTAATTGAAGCATTACATAAGGCTTCATCGCTTTTTGGCGTCGTACTTGACGGTCACCTTGGTCAGCGTTCCTCATAGACCATTAAAACGTAGCCGACGCACCAGTCATTCAATTTACATGCAAGGGAGCAGATATGTGACTGTGGCGTCACTGATCTCTGTAGATTTCGTCCTGTTTGCGAAATGCATTGGAGGGGAGGGGTGAATTTGCAGTCTTTCTTTTTTTGTCCACCGCTCATCATAAAAATACTGGTCTAAAAGCAGTCATTAAATGGAGGGCGGTGTTTAAGACCATTTCATGGGGCCATGGTTTCACTTCTCCTTTACTTTACGACTTTAATTTTAATTCAATGCTGACTAGCCAAACTTATCTGGTTTCTATTAGGCTAGTAATAAGGTGGAGAAGGTACTGCGAGTTTGCATAATTGATGTTTGCATACAGGTACAGTAGACAGCTCTGGAAGGCACTTTCTTAGACGGCTCAGGGCTACAGTTAGTGCTCTTTTAGTTGTTGACAGCATTCCTGAAGAAAGTGGGATTGAGGAGGTTGCCAAAAGCGGAGGTCACCTGTTCTCCTCCTGTCAGGGATCCTCATTGATTCTCCCATCCGTGGCAAGTGCCCTTCTTTCGTCACGTTAAGACTTGGCAGCCAGGAGTGAAAATCAGGAGAGCTGTCGGTTATGATCGGCTTCGCTTTCCTCTGCTGCCAATGTAGCACCCAAGGACTTACCCGAAGGCGAAAAAAGGGATAATACAAGGACAGAATATGTACTTCAGGCGCATAGAGGGGTTGTGAGGGAGGTACTGACATAGCTCAGAGGCCATGCCACCCACTGGAAGCACAAAATTTGAGCCCTGATTACCCGCCTAATCAAAATGAAGAGTTTAACAAAAGCTCGAAGTGTTACATGTACACTAACGGATGAACAGGGCGTGCACAGCCCTATCTATTGCAATTTTTCATGAAGGAAACATTTTTTCAAGTTCTCGTAGGATCTTTTCTGGCAACACTCACTTTTTGGTCAAAATCTGCATTTGATGAAAAACGCCTTCCACTAGTGCTGCGCTCTATTTCCTGTGAAATCCTCTGAAACTTTGGAAAAGGCATTGCTTTGACAAAAAGTTCGGTGTAAGAATCTTGCTGTCAAGAATATGCTGTTGTGGTTCAATTATTTTTATTAAAGGGAAGTATTTAGGAAATGAGTCAAGTCACTTCGTGGTCGTATCATAATTTTCTATTTTATTCACTGAAAATATTTGCCACAGAGAATCCTTTGATATACTGCAATGCCTACTACCAGTCAGAAATTCTAGCATATTTTTATTCGCCCGATTACCAGAATTGTAATACTTTACTTTAAATGGTTTCACGACACAAAAGAGCTTCCTAGCTGTCGCCAAGATATGCCACTTTGGAAGCGGTTCCTTTGCCAATCTTTAGAAGGGCTGAAGATCCAGCATGATCAGTGCCATTCCAAGGTTTAGTATCACCAGTACAAAGGTAGAATAGAGCCGGGCTCAAAAATGGCACCTGCTGGATCATAATACCAACACATTAAAGTAAATATGCCATTTTTAAAAAATTATTCTAGTAATTTCCGCCTTGGCTCGTCTGCCTTTTCAACGTAACGAGGAGATTCGAACTGAAGCTACTAATATCATAATCCCCAACACACGGTTTGCAATAGTGACAATTAAATGAGAACCTCCTAGTTTCTATAATATTGGTTGCTTGTTTAGGAACAGTAATCTATCTTGCAGGTAAGCTCCCTTTAGTTCTCTCCTTTTCGTAGTGAGAACACATTAATATCTATTAATTTAGGTTTCTTGTGACATAAGTAGGTTTCCAGATAATCATAAAAGAAATAAAGGAGAATTTTATTGCAATCAAATCAAATTTTACTTCACTAGCGCTCATTTATTTTATTTGCAGCGAAAAAGGTGAGTACGGTTTTGATGATCCTTCTAATATGCCTTTACGCAGATTGACTTTTCAGCATCAGATACCTTTCCATTGCGATGATCTTGCAGGATCAAGATTGCTATTGCCTTTTTGTGCGGATTTATAAACGCTACGTCGGAGTTTTCCTCTAGGGCGGATGAATCTGGCAGCAGTGATGTACAGAAGACCTGAGCAACCGGTGATATAAGGTCACAAACAAGTGGGCCGAAGTGAGGGAGTGTGAAAAGGCAAGACAAATGATGTACTACCACATGAGTAATAGGAGCCCACCCTTTTATCAAAGTGGCTTTACCAGTTTTCTAATGCACCAGGTCGCAGAAAGGCAAAAAGATAATATCTTTTACCGTAAGCTATGACAGGCCGTGCGTAAACCACTTCGAGCGTGCCATCCAGTTGTTTCACTTAAACCAACCGACTGTGAAAGGCCGAAGTGACTATAGGGCGTTTCAAACACTTCTCTTAAAAAATTGAGGATTTTTGTCACTTTACATTGCCTTTAAAAGTGATGACATTGTTTGTTTTTGGCGAAATTGACCGCTTTCTCCATTTGACTTCGCATCATCCTCTTCGAAGTAAAGGCACTTCCCAACTTTTTCCATACCTCAGGGGGAGGTAGGATTCTCTCACAGCTTTATATGTGGTGCTAATAAAAAAAATTCGCAGATATCATAGAGCAGATGGAATGACTTGTCTTTTGCATTAGAAATTAATATGTGGTTTGAAACTAGCCATTTGAAAGGGGTAAGCAATGGACAAAACTGTGAGCATCGAGAAAAGTAAATCAGCAAAACCGGATAAATAAATATTCTGGTGGGAAAACATTCTATTCCTCAAAATAGTCAATTACATAACTATTATGACTATAGCAGTGTTTAAGGCTGAACAGTTGATGGTTGAAAATTTCAGGTCATTTTTGCTACAGTGATCAATTCATACAATTCACTAAAACAATGTGTTCAGGGAATAAGTGATTCCGGAGGCCTCAATCAACGAAAACCAGCAAAGCAATGTGCTTGTTATCACAACAATCGTAAAATAAATAATTCAAAATGTGTCTGGATCCCTCCAAGTCCAACAAAACGGGCCACATCAAAAAACCACAAAACCCTCCAATTAAATTATTCAGATCGCGCGATATGATGCCTAAAGCGAGGTAGGCTTTAAAGAGTCAGTTGGAACATCTACAAATTTGTCAGTGTAAAACTGACACAATTTCCCAATCGGATAGAAGAATCGTGGTTTATTTAAACCCGGAACTAACAAGCTCTTTTGTGTTTTGAATCAGTCAAGTGACGACCATTGTTACAAACCATAATTGATTCTTTTTGTTGAGCTTCGAAACGGAATCTTCGGATCATATACACGTTTTTAACATCCTCCAATAGAACTAAATCTCCTGTTGTTAACGATAGAAATATCATGGAAATACTTTTGTTACCAAAGTTTGGATAATTTCGGAATGGTCATCCACCATAGCTTTAAGGATTCGAGGGAAGATGGCCGGATTCTACAACAACTGTATTACCTCCTGCATCTTCTTCCCTAGCTCTTCCGTTGTTACTAGTTTGAATTGCTATCTTTAGGGTGCCGTTGAAAGGGTTGCCCATTATAGCAGAAAGAAGAAGACTTACGTACGCAGACCCTTCATTTTCCCCAGTTTGGTTGCCATCTTGACATCATTGCCTTTCGGCCATCCTTATAGCCTTTCAGACATTCTGTACTTAAATTTGGAGTTGCTATGTCCTCAGGGGTCATTTAAGGCAGCATATAGGTGGCAGAAACAAAGAAATTTGACAAATAAAATACAACTCAACTCAACGTAATATAGGATAGGCGACGAAATCCTCGGAGTTTTGAAACAGCTGGATTGATAAAAGTCTGCCCACTTATGACAGCATTCTGACCCCAAAAACGAGGTAAAATGCTACTTAAGCAAATTCAAAACCTTTCCAACATAGATCCTTACTGCTATGGCGAGTATACATTGCTGTCTACCCCTAATGTCGACTTTTCTACCAAAAGCGGCAGGTATATGGGACGATCTTAATCTATATGGGCAATCAAAATCAGACAGTATTTCTGATGCATCCTTCCTTTCAAGAGACTTGATTTTGGCAGATGACAACCAGGTTCACAGTATGTCTTACCAGTAGAGAAATAGGTAGTCTATTTCCCTTGTTGTAGATTCATTCCATCTCCTTCATCCTTGCTTTAACAAGAAGTCTCAGAAAGGTCGAGGGAGAAGATGGACCTCATTAAAATGGAGCCGTGCAGATAAACTGTATTTCTTCTAGCGAAATATCTAACTACGTGAGGTCTCGGTCTCTATTTTGGTGCCGTATTGTCCCACTTCCAGCCCCATGGCCTCCCAGTCATTCCTCATTTATGGTGATGCACTTCAATGCATCTTTGGCGAGATTTCGGGATGCTGTTAGGGCTTTTATTAGATGGCTTAGGTACAGCCAATCTGATGGCAGTTTTATTAAAGTCTTTTAACCCTTATTGCGAAGATGCGTGGGCTGATACTACCATGGCAACGTTTTTTATCATGCTTGATTCCATTAATTGAAATGTCCCAAGATAACCGACTCCCACATAAAAAGCCCCATTCATTGGTACTTTAAAACTTCAATTTGTTGGAATTCGCAAGACTGAGCGTTTTATTTACTGAGGTTTATGGTCCGGTCTTTGTTGATTTCGTTGCCACATCTCCTCATTTCATACGTCTATTTCTACGTAAATACCAAAATACTAAAATTTGCTCAACTGAAAAATGGGCTCGGGTATTTAAACAAGTACGCCGGTACTTTAATTCCTCAAGGTATTTGTATACCTTTTCAAAAAGCAGGAGATTATTTCTCTCCGCTCCATAGGATTGTGTTCCTTGAATATACTGAGGTGGCAAAATAAAAGCAGCACCTTTGGATTCGAAAATGAGGAGGAGAAGAGGATGGCATTATTCCAAACACCTGTAAAGCAGACTAAAGAACTGTTGTACCCGTACTACCAGAGATAGTCTTTTTCAATGCCTAAAACAAACATACTACAGCATTACAAAATGGAACAAAGGTCCCTTCCAAGTTGTAAAATGTGAAATTTTAGAATCCTTGAATAATTCGGAGAAAACTGATTGAGCAGCAGTAAAAGGGTGGTTTAGATGTTGGTTTTCCCCTAGGCTTAAATACTTTTCCATCAGTAGTATATGGGGAGCACGAAATGACACATATTGGTGTGGAATCGTGCTTCTATTCTGGAAACCGTCTTCTCCTGATACTATCTTAATGGGTGTTTTTTTAATATTTTATCGTGCAAACTTTGTGCAGTTCAGTGTATGCATTCATTTTGAATGACTTTTTGTTATAACTACCTCGAGCACTTAAGGCTCCGCCATTGTACTTTTTGCTGGGCGGCATGGCCTTTAGACCGTGCCAGTAAATCCAACCATTCTGCACGCGGGCAACTCACCCTCTGCTTCAGCATTACGTCTTTTTTCTTCCTCAGGGAAGTCTCGGGGTGAGTAACCCACCCTAAAGGACAACAATCCTGATTTATATTACTTAATGCGGATAAAGGAATTTGTGACTACACCCAACAGAGAGATTGAATTTGACGCCTAACTTCGTCGACTCTAGTATTATACCTTCTTTCGTCTTCAAAGAATGTTTAGGGAGCAACACAAACACAGATAGCGAATAGGCACGCCGGCATATTGCTAACTCCTTATAAATTTAATTAGTTAGGGGAATTCAACTAGTCCTTTCGAAGTGTTTTTGCCTCGCAAGATACCCGTAACAATCGTTTGGTATGACTACCATATGCAGGGAATTAGCGGTGAGACTTATGTTATGTTAATGAGATGTACCGCTCAATGAAACATTCATTTTCAAGAGACTCTGGGTTCACGCTCCCTTTATCATTTTATTTGGATCTCTTAGGAGAATGAGCGACGAAGACAGCTAGAAAATCAAGACCTAGTTTATGGACGTGATCAATGACCTTTTGGAACTCATGAATAACACATGAAGAAGACGGCTAAGCGGAGGGAGAGAATAACAGCGGCTTTAATCAACAGTCTATTGCTGTGTTCTTGTGAATGCGCATTTACCAGCATCCGTGCTCAGAGAAGGATTAATTGATATCATTTTACCCATCAAAGTATTCTACTTGCATAAAACTTATGAACATGCTCAGGCAATAGGGTGAGGTGATGGTTAGCTGAAAGAGCCATTCCTAAAGTCGGAAGAAGCCTTAAGACTAGGACTACAAAAGGGCTGAGATGCTATTGGCATGGTCTAGAGTCCAAACAGCACAGCAAAAGTAGAATCATAGAGCCTTCAGTGGCCTTGAAACCAGAATAATGGGTTAAACAAACAATCAAGGCCTTACATTTAGACTCGAGTTCATTGCAAGTGTATGTGTAGCACCCACCATCCAATTAATCTAATACCCTTGAAATGGATTGGGTCACGGAAGGCTTGCATGGTGTCTTCCTCTGGTGTTCATGGTGCTTTTTTCTGCTATCTGCAGCTTAGGCACTTAATCACTAGGTAAAAAAGGATGCAGTGCATTTTGACCATTAATGGGAACAAGCAATATACTTCCTGTTTTATTCGGCTTGGAATGTCGTACACCAGCATGAAAATCTAGATTTATCCAGTGCGTTATTTCAATGCAGAGTCATCAACATCTGCAGGACCTTGCGGTCTTATGAAGATATAATTATGATAAACGGATTTTACTTTTTAAACTAGTCAAAAAACAAGCAACTTCGACTATCTGTCTGAGCCATTGTATCGTTTGTTTCGATGGATTCTACAAAAGATAGGATGTTGATACACTAACCGTATTGCCACTGAAGCTTTGAAGGGCACTTGGGAATTAATCGGACTTGTAAATACTGTAAAGGAAGGTTTCTGATACCACCAACTTGCGGAAATAAAATGACCACAAACACTTGGTTACAAATAAGCGACTAGGTGAGGTATTGTGCAAAACCGGTGGAGCTAATAGACTGGGATTGTGGAACAAGTTTTGGTTGAGATAATGTGCTGCCAATTCATTAAAAGACCCAAAAACTAAGCTCTACAAACATAAACATGGCAGAAAAAACCTTAGTTTTGCAGGTAAATAAAAAAACTCGTTTTTGTTCTAATAATTCGGTCATCCATTAAGTGTGCCACATCGCGTGGAGTGAGAGTCCATTTTTTATTCGGTCGGTTTCTTAGCATAGGTATTAAAACTATACAAAAACATGGGTTTTCATAAGGAAGTCCAGCGATAACTTTTACCTGCAGTCTTATGAATATACACTTTTCATGTTGTGGTTATAGTCAGGTAAACAGAGTGAAGTTTATAATAAAATCAGACGAAAATTCAACTAAATTTTGTAGGTGCATATAGCAAAATCTTTTATGCATTTTTTTACTAGAAGCTTTTCTTCCTTTTGTGAGGAATTGCCATGTCAAATGCATGTGACGTCCTACATTTCTTATCAGGGCTTGGAGTAGTAGACATGTGATAAGTCCTCCTGTAAGCTTGGCATGATTCGTTACAGCAAATCTCCTCGTTACCAGATCAGTTGAGCTTAAAACAATAAAATAGACAATTGATATTATGTCTTTTAAGCTGACTAGGCGACGATTAAATTGGTGGGTTTTAAAGTGCATATGCTGATGCCATAATGGAGGAGCAAGGCGCCTCGACTGTGGTATTCAACGTTCTTCTAAGTGCACCACAGAGCACGCATTAAAATTTGGACTGTCCGAATATCTCCTTAACTCCTGTTATGGGTAAAGAAGTGATTAGACTGGCAGTGACCAATATGTGTAAAGATTAAAAAGAACGTTTTGCAGATCTACGAAAACTCCTTGTGCGTGAATGAAATTAAGTCCCCATTCTCCATTTCAGCCTCCTAAGTTGGTTTTCAGATGCTGCTATTAGTAATAAGCAGCATTTCATACAGTCAACTAACTTTTTAGTGTTCAGGGAATTTATTTCACTTTTTTCTGTCCATTCCCATTATATCCAAAAAGATTTCAATCAAAGATCACACATTCCGTAAAAAGCTGATTGTTTAAATATTTCTTTTGGTCACGGGAGCACTCAGGGCTCGGCCATTGCACCTCCACCGAGTGGCCAGGTCTCCGAGCCACGCCATTAGCTCCCTCTCTAGCTCTACCTTACGTCGTTGATACATATTCTGCTCAAGTATTATACCCTCTTTCATCTTCATGGAAGTCCTCCGGCGCTACACATCCATTACCTTTTAGTGACAAGGTCTTGGGAATTGTCGCATTATTGTTTCTAGTATTTGAAACGGCACAATTTGCTTTCGAGTCACGTAATAGAAGCACATTTTGAATTAAGCTTTAATCAGATTTTTCTTCGCTCTGCAACCACCAAAATAATGGCTAAATAGAATTGTGCTACTTTTCTGCCGGGAATTTCATCTGCTAATTGTATTTGTGCTGATTTTCATATGCCACCTTAATCATTTGAATTTCATTTTAAGGTATTGAGTATCCAAGTCCCTCCCCTCTGTTTCCATTTTACAAATATGCAAATTAAATTCCTATAAAGTTTTAGTAGTCTAATTCTCCTCTGATTGTACTGTGATATTCCAATTAGTTTGGATTGTTTGTTTTTCTTTGCAAACTTAATTTTGTCAGTTTATTTTAGCAGCTTAAAGTTATTTTCCTAAAATACTAATTTACTTTAAAACGTGGTATAAGTTGTTTCAGCGCTCCCAGGTTTCCTGAAGGTTACAGTTGGGCATGACAACGTAGAAGGATGTTTCTCTACTAGCGTGCGGATGGGCTGAGGGACTATGAATGTGGCCAAATGTCCACCCCACCAAGGCTGTTGGCACAACTCACGGAAATTGAAGAGCACAAGTGTAAAACTAGACTTTGGACATTTGTGTACTGATAGTAGACTCCCATTTAAGGGAAGCTTGTGACTTGATTGTGAACTCGGCCTTGACCTCTAAATACCCTTTGTTTATTCATCCACCTTAAGGCCAAATTTTGCCTGTCTATACAGCACCCATGAGTCGTTATCATCTCCGCCATCTTAAAATTCGCGTTTTGCGGTTTCTCACACCAGTCAGTGCTTTGTTTGTCTGTTCTAACGTCAGTTTTGGAGCATCAATTCTTTACTTTAATCTTTTATGTAGCCCTAGATATCAATAGAGCTGTTAAAACGCCTTTACAATATTTCTCCAAAACTGTTTGGTGTAACCAGAGGTTTCGAAAATCCCTATTCACCCGCTTGAGAATCCTTAAGCTTACCTATTTTGGACTTGAGACTAATCAAATTGCTGTCTGCAGCACCGTTCGACTAGCGTATACCTAATTTGTTGAATTTTTTAACATGGAAGAATGCTTGGAAGAGGGGGATGGTGTTGTTTATAAGCCGAAAACTTCTACTGCTCATCCTCTGCCCTCCTCCTCCTCTCTTCTTCCCTCAATTATGATTTTAGCCTCCGTAGGGCCTTCTACTGCGTTGTTGAGTATATCTACACAAGCAAATAAGGAGGTTTTTAATTCAACGGTTTACGCGGCGAAGTCACTCACTGCAGAAAATTGCGGCCCAACTGCCGACGCACATATAGTGCGGCATTTCGGCCCGACCCCGTTTACCAAGGTGACAGACCAGAATTCTTCAGCGCGGTGCGCGGTGGGCTGTGAACCGAGTCTCTCCTGAACAAATGGGAAGAGCCTCTTCTTCTAAAAGAAGAGGAGCTTTTCTCTCCTTTTGCCTCGTGTACAGATGGCTTAAGTGGTGGATGTTGGGAAGTGCATGGATTTCAATACGGGTCAAGTGAATCAGTAGAATTAGATTACTTGAGGATTTTTGACGTGGAAAATGGGTTGTTAAGTCTTCCCCAAAACTGGCTAAATGCATTTTAATGGAGGATTATCGTAGGAGATATAAATATAAATTCCGCTTAAAGACCCAGCCTCTTGAATTCATCCAGTTCTTGAACATGACCGCTCTAAAAACTGCTTCAGCTCACCCCCGAGTAGATCATCAGGAGAGATTGAGATTGAATTAAGGGTGCAATTCAACAAAAAGCTGCATACTCATGCATAACGTGAATTTTACCAATTCATGGAAAAGACTTTGCGAGCAAATCCGGGAAAGCCGAGGACAGAAAAGTCCGTAATGACAATGCCGCGCAGATGTTTCAATCCGTCTAACCACTTTCCCACAACAGTGTTGGCAAGTCTGGCTAGTTTTTCCAGTCCGCTTGTGAAATTGAAGAGAATGTAGTCCAGGTTTGGGGAGAGGATACCTTGGAAGACGAAAAAGTAGACCGGTCTGCTTTTCTGCATCCAATCGCTGAAAATGACAGTAAATACATTGATGAACTGCTCGGAAGCATCAGTGTAGATTTACATGCTTAATTCCATAAGGCACACGTTTTGTGACTATTCACTTCTTCGACAACCACAGATAGGTTGGTAAGCATTGAATTATGCATGAGCTGTGTAGTGAAACCATTTCGGTGCTGGAACCGAGTGCTAGCAGCTCTCGAAAATCATACCATATGTACTTAACAACTTCGCCTTCATCTATGTTCAGTCCAGAAGGGTCGGACAAACATTTGGCGCAGCATCTTGACGAAGTGTAGTTGTGAGGAATTTTACCACTAGGTAATCGACAACTTACTGTGGAGATGGAGGAACTGCTTAGACCATGACAACTAGACTTCCAATCCACCAACCGGTTAAATGAATTATTTTTTATGGTAGGAACACTTCTTTCTTTTTGAAGTTTCATAAAAGTGTCTTTTAACAAATCTCATTCCTGTTTAGCGATCACAGAGACTTGCAGCACCGGATCAAGCTGTGTTTTCTCACCCTCAATCTAAAGTAATGATTATTCAAATTTTCAAGCCTCTCAAATTCCCTTGGTTCCATAAGGTGAAATTTTATTGTGGCTGAACAAATTCGGAACAAAAAGACACTAACTTGAAGCTCTTGGAAAGAAAAGTGTGCAACACTTTAGGATTCCTCGTATTAGGCCACGGTTGCCTAATAGCAGACCTTGGCCACTGCACTGAAATGTCGTCTTCAAGTTCGTCAAAACTCTTCGCATAGCCCAAAATGATGACCTGCTTTTTGAGTGACCACATTTCAGCCAGAGAAGGGATTTGACTCCCATAAGGCTCCACCATTTCTCCAAGCACCTAGTAACTTAAGTCCAGTGTCTGCAAGTGGGACTTACTTTTTTGATCAGGTCCTTGAATATCGACTTTAAAGATTCGTCCAATCCGTAGAAGTGCTGGAAGTCAATTATGGCCACTTCTTTAGGGTGGTGTTTTAGAAAGCTCTTAATTGTTTCCAACTCCTCGCTGACCCTGTTGGCATACTGCCCGTGGACAAGGAAGAAGCAGGGATAAATATCAATGGAGGAATTCGAGAGTAAGCCCACGCAGGATTGCCTCTTTATCGCGACTCGCATGTCGAAGTAACGAATTCCTGACTGGAGTTGAGTCGTGAAATTGGTTTTTTGAGTCACAGACCACTTGAAGTAGGGTATTTTAAAGAAGAGGCCGAGAACCTTGATTAGGGATTTATAATTCATATCAAGGGAGAGTGGAGAGGATTCCTGAATGCCGTAGCTCCCCGAATTGTGTGTTCCTAGGGAATAACGACAAAGAGATTAAATGTAGTATTATCTGCTTTGATATTTCTAAATAGGCCATACCAATAAGCGAGACCCATTCTGGCCTGATGTGATGACTCCCTCTGTCTTCATGAAAGACTCGGATGCTGAACATTTATATTTAGATTCATTAGGTGACTTTACATCGTGGGAGTCAGTTGCATTTCTGTCATATAATTGAGGAAATTTCAAATGAAACTAGTTCATGACTTAATCGTAAAAGAGATTATAAGGAGAAGTGGTTTGAGCTGATATTACCTTGAAATAAAGGCTTACCGGGTATAGCAATCTGGGAAAGCGGGACGTGAGTAGCCTTCTCGGGCAAGTGAGCCATCCAATCACTGGCGGGTACTTCATCCTGCTTGGGTAAATTGGCCGAGGTTTTCCCACATTTTGAGCAAATTAAGAATCAACGGTACATGTTGGTTGGTTTTCACCAGTTAAAATTAATGAGTCTGAGTTACATAGACATGAAACTGCTCGTATTTTGGTTGAAAAGATAGAACTAATCTCATTGTTGTACCAAAATTGAGGTGGCTAAATGTTTATGCAACATGTACCACTTTGTAATACTTTGATTAGTTGTTTAACTCATCGTTTTGACTTAAGGCGTAGGTAAGGCTCCTCCTTTGTACTTTGCTGAGCGGCATGGCCTAGCCCTTTTCGACGTTAGTAATGCATATTCTAACCTATTATTATGACCTCTTTCGTTTTTAGAGAAGTCTAGGGGCACTACAACTTATTAAGATTTGACAATACAATTTCATGAATTTATAGAAGTCCGCACCAGTCTTGAGTAATAAAACAGTATAATTCTTGTCAATTTAACTAGAAACGATTCAATCATGTTATAAACTCAGGAACTAAAAATGATGCGGAGGCTATTAACCATAATTCCCATTCGCATAAACACACTTGACATGAGAATTATCGCTTATTCGGTGTCAAACAGGAGGGTCGCTTACCTGTCTTCTGGGCTGTACTGGTCGTGGTATCACAGGCTAAATTTCATCTAATGTGAATTCGCTTAAAACCTACATTTAAAAAGAGGATGAGCTATGAAATGCAATTTTTAATGTGGCTGCTTACGAAGACGAATTGTGCTGGAGCCATGGATGGCGCATGTGATCTAGCGCTTTCGATAGTGAAGATTGTGCGTGTGTGTACGCTTGGGGTGAACAGACGTGTTTACTAATAGGCACGGGAATGGTGCTGAACGTGTCAATGAAAGCTGGTTTTTTGTCGTGACTTCGATATTACTTAAAGGGTATTTTATGACTTTTTGACTTTTCAACTCAAAATTGCTGTTACTTAGGCGGCAGCGATAACTTATGTCATGAAGGAATGAAAACTAGCGAGTGATTTTACTGACAGTGTGATATGGTTTGGGCTACTTAGTCCCCCTAAGTAGTGCTCCACTGGATGGTGTAGCCCTTTATTTATGCGTATATCTTCTCAACCTTTTTGTTGGGTCAGAATAGACGCTGAAGCTTACGGTGTAGAGGATGTCCTATTCAAGTCTTTTTAACCTGAACTCGAAAATGACAGGTGGTTAAGCCGATTATGTGATATCGGTGACAATATAATGACCTTAAATTACGTTCAGCTGGGTTTAACAGTGCTGGCATTCCATTGTTCCCAGATCGTACTTCTGCTCTGCAACATGATCTCCGGGCCATGCTGACAGCCTCCTAGAAGTAAAGTATTAATGACAAAGATGTGTCTGAACAAGGTTTGTTGTCAGTTTTAAGTTAGTTCATTATGTACAGCTGGCAACTTGGCTCCAGAAATAGCAACTACATTCATAATAAACAACCAAATCCCATGAATTTATAACAACGGGAATACATTACTACTTATTAATATATCAATGTCTTGGTATAATTCGACTCAAAACTCATTGATTTGGTGTTATCTTTTAAAACGTTTTATAACCACTAGCCTCAAAGGAGACGTGAAAATAAATGAACCCAGCAATTATCCATATAAACTTCGAAAGAATTAATCACATTTGAGGTATGGTCCTTTGCAATCATAATTACGTTTATAGCATGCATTGAAAGTACATCGATAAAAAGCACCAGCTGAGGATTAAAATTTTATTCTTAGATAAAGATGTGCATTAAACTTCCCTTCTTTCTGATATTTAGCAAAGAAGTAATTCTCATTGGTTTATGCCAGTCCCAGAAGACATTCATTAAGCAAAGGAATTTAATTTTTGAGATGCCAACAGGTAGGGACTGGAAAACAAGCGAAGCATTAAGGTTATAGCTTAATTACTGTCACATTATTGACCTAGAGCGCTCAAATAGGTCATGTGATATTAACCAATAAGATGCATGACTGAGTTTGTGCCTGGTTGCACGTCACTAAAGTAGCCTAGCAGTGTGCTAGATCCAGAAACAATGCTAGCCAAAACAAAATACTTTATTATAGGGAAAAACATTCTCTTTTCCCCACCGCTTGTCATCACTGTTTTGCCAATAGTTTGGGTATTGGATCTAGCACTTTGTGTATTCGTGTTACACAGTGTTGCATGTACAATATAGTATTTAAATAAGCCTTTTAGATACTGAAATTGACTGGGTCGCTTATATGCAACAGTCGGAAGTTTTCCTAAATGGGACACGTGATTATGACCAACTAATCGGCCGAACTGGGCCCTGTGTGTAAGGAAATAGGGTAACCTCTTAATCCTCCATTCTAGTTATCCCGCTGGGCATATTTACATCTATTCCCTTCTGTATTTTCTAACAGATCACGGCAAAAACATATTTGCAGCCCAGTGTCTATTCACAGGTCTTTATGCGATAACCATGGTCTTAGTTCTCAATATCTACCGGAAACTCAGAAAGGTAATTCAACTACTCGTACTTTCTCTCCTGTAGGTCCCCTTACTTCCTATCCTTATTTTGGCTTTTGCCTCGTATCGGGTGCATTCTATTTACTTGTTACGACTTTTCAATGATCCTTGGGCAATGTTTTTCCTTTACGCATCAGTAAACTGGTGCCTTTACGATCACTTCTCTTGCGCAGCTGTATTCTTCAGGTAGTTTTTGTGGTCCAGTTTTATTAGATATTATCTAATTCATGTGTTAATTATTTTTTTTGCTAAACGCAGCATGGCCGTTGGGGTGAAGATGAACATTTTGCTTTTTTCACCCGGTTTTCTCCTTGTTCTGCTCAAATACCGTGGTGTATATGAAACACTTGGGCACCTGGCTGAATGCGGTATTATCCAGGTAGTTATCTATTGCACTTGTCACCATAACGTCATCAATATAATTTGTTTTCAGGGTTAATACTACCCGAAAAACTGATAATGCTTCTGCTCTTTTCTAGGTTCTCTTGGGAGCAATCTTCTTCTTCCGCAATTCTGAAGCCTACTTCAGTCGCGCCTTTGATTTCAGTCGGCAGTTCATGTACAAATGGACAGTAAATTGGCGAGTCATTCCCGAAGCACTTTTTCTTGACCGACGATTTCACGCAGCCCTGCTGGTCATCCATCTTCTTTTGCTTTCATTCTTCCTCATGAAATTCAGTAGGTAGGATTTTTTAGTCCTTCATTTAAGACGCTCCTTTAGTTTAAAGTAAGGCCCTATTTCCAGCTATATTTTTCTCTTATTTCACTCTTCGATTTCTCATTTAGATCCTGTGGAGGATTTAAAACATTCTTGCAACCACTTCCACCTTCCCAAGAGCAAAAAATTATTGCTGAGGGTAGGTTGAATCTCCCTGAATTTGTTTATTTTGCCTTTGTGATACTGGTTTTGCTTCAAATTTGTTTTACTTTTAGATGTACTTTATCCGATGTTTGTTTCCAACTTCATTGGTATCGCATTTAGTCGTTCCTTGCATTACCAATTTTACGTTTGGTACTACCACTCCATTCCCTTTATCCTGTGGTCGGTGGCACTACTTTCGGATTCCGTGAGGTAAGCAGGGGGTGGATTTAGCTTCCATATTTCTATACTGTTTATCATATTAAGAGATTTTATTTCGGTGCACTAGAGAACTTATTTGATCATCACGGTCCAGTTCCTTTCATAATTCTGGCGTGACACTGAAATTTGCACTATTGCACAGACCAATCCAACCGTTGTAGCTATCCTTAAACCAAGGGGCTTCTTCATCTTTTTTGGTGCTCTAAAATCAACCAATCTGTTTGTAACACCGTGTGGTGCAATCGGTTCAGCTGAATTTATTAACAGCGCATACCACATTTTCGTAAAGCTAGGCTCAGCTATAAAACGGAGTTCCACGTATATATGACGCTAGTAGCGATTGTGTTAATCGCGGCATCATGAGCTGCTGAGCTGTATCCTTGTATCTAAGGCTCCTTATCTTCGGACTTATCGAGATGTCCTGGAATGTCTATCCATCCACGGTGTTGAGTAGTGCCACTCTACACGTCTGCCACGCGATCATCCTCCTCGGTCTCGCTCTCCAACCACTATGCAATGCCTCTGTGCCCACCGGACGGTTAAAAGGGCAAAAGACAAAGAAACAGTAGTTTGAGTTGCAGAAATTGTTAAAATAAATCATATTCGTTATTTTACGTGCTGTCTCTCTAATCTCTGTCTTATTAAGCGTAAAAGTTTCCGTTAAATTTAGTCGTAAGGGTAAACATGATGTGCAGTGGAGATAGACTGTGGGGAGCCATGCAGTTTAGTAGTGCTTAGTCCACTTCACTATGGGTATCCATTTATTGGCACATTCTGCTTCACTTCTCTGCGTATTTTCATTTCAGCCACATCTCGAAGATGATAGGTGTGGGGCTAACCTCCAAAGCAGTGGTATGGACTTACTGCTTAGAAGAGGTCAGCTTGGTGTGATCCTCAAGTAGTGGTGCAATTTCGATCGTTGAAACGCCCATCGAGGGGATTAACTATCAAATTAGCATTGAACATCCAGCAATTGGTGTTTCAATAGCCTATTCAAAATAAAACATCTCATTGCCTAACTTTGAGGTTGGGGGTCATTGTCCCTAACTTTTCGCCTGCAATACTTTTATTTTCCTGTCGTGATGCTACCTAGTCAGCTTCTCTTTGAAATCAGATTCTGTCCCATTAGTTTTGTTAATACTATCTTTTTAAAGTTGTTTTTCTACTGGTAAGAATAAGCATGCACAACAACAGGACGTAACAAAGGAGAATCTCTCAGCCTGCGTTTTACTGGGAAATGGGTTCCGACCTACCCTACTACCCTCGATATTTGATCCAAAGTGATAACAGAAACTTAGTCAATGACACGAATCAAGTCTTTTGCGTGGAAACACCGCTTGAGCTGAAGACAGAAAGTGGACTGTATTTTAGAGTCTGACACACTCGTTCAAGCTTTCTTGTTAAATCATGAGGCAAATAAGTTGCTGCTGAGATGCCAGAACTGCACCATCAACACTTCGAGTATGTAAGCTCCCGGACTGAGTGTAGATAGGATACTTCAAATGTTTCATTCGAGGTCGTGGTCACCTACTTTGACCCATGAAAATAATCCAAGCCAATGTCAAGTTCAGATGTATTGACAACAGTGGTGTCGCGCGATCCGGCGTGAAGCCACACAAGAAGTGCCATCATCTCTGGAATTGGCTGCCAGTGACTGGGACATTGTGCAGACAGTAAAATTCATGTGAGACTAGTTGTTTCAATGACCGTGGATAAGTGCATGCCGCACGACAAGGGGAGATGCAAACCCTTTGCAACTGTATTTTGTGGAAGCTTTTAAAGGGCGAATGAATTCGCTTTCTCTTCCTTTTAAGGACATTAAATGGCGTATTTTCTACTGGGCAACGGAGATAATTTTTCGTCTAAGGTATGATGAGTACTTATGGGCTTATTTGGTGTGGCTGTAGGAAAGTCGTCAAAGAAGAAAATAGTGAAATCAGTGTACCATTTTATTACAACCCTCTGGATGGCGCATTGAAAGCCTGTTGCAGAGTTTTGCAAGTGTGGTTGGATATCAGTAATGCTCGGAAAAAATTCACCATAATTTATAAAGCCCGTCTTTTTAAAATAAATAAACGTATTTTGGCGCACCACATACGGACAATATCCGAAGCAGACACCCATCTGACTTTCACTTTGGTTATTTCTAACTCATTTTTTGGTTACGTGAGCACTTAATCCCCCGCGACTGTACTTCCAGAGGGCAGCATGACCTCCGAGTGTTACCAGTAGCCCTCCCACCCCAGCCCTCCTGTACATCGACAATACATTTTCTGCCCTAGTATTATCCTAATGCGTTATTTGGATGTTAGTTTAATTCGCATTTTTGGTAATGGGGCCACCTAGGTGTTCCACCATTGTACTAACGCAGGGTGGGTTGGCCTCCCGGCTGGGCTAGCGGTCCTAAGCCCTACTGCCCCAAGGAGCCTCATTATGACTTCTTTCAACATCTGTAAAGACTCGAGGTTCTAGAGCACATCCAATTTATTTTTTATTCATCTGTTTGAATCGCTGCCACTTGAAAGTTGAGATAAGGTTACAATGCTTGAGGTCTCGTCGAAGACTTTTCACGACTATAAGCCTGGGCAGGATATTTTTATGAAGGTCCAAAAGGACTGGCGAAATGGGTGGAGAAATGACAATAAAGTGGTAACTGACACCCCTAGCGAGGATGAAGGGCCTACGCAGTCTAACTGCGCTTTGAACAAACGACGTATCGTTAATTCAGCATTCATCTTCCCAAAAGATTTTCCTATTTTCGTGAATATGCATTTTTAAAGTGCAAGGATCAGAGGTTTAGCAAAATGAGGCATCAGATTGTGCAATCACCAATTTCACACTCAGAGAAGGTGGCTACTTCAGAGTAAATACTATAACCACAACCGCATTTTTTCTCCGCTTACTAAAATATGCATTCAATTATTGCAAGGTATAATTAATTGGTTTCAATCAAACCAATTGGATGCAACTAAATTCAGAAATTGTTATACTTAGCTTTTGCTCCCTATACGTGAACGCTCATTTTTTGGTGAAGTCATTTAGAGTTTCTTGGGTACTTGTATTCATAACCAAGTGGATGTCATCATTTCAATTTCCTGTTTTGCGCTGTCATTTTGAAAATAAAGTACAGTTTGACTCTGTTTAGAAGGGTAAAGTGTATTTGACCTTAACAAACTCCTAGTCATCTTAATAGTCATAATTGTACATTGATCTTGGAGGATCCAGGAGCTGAGGTAAACTTACGTCTAGATGAAATGAATCTGCATCCAGATAAGTAGCAGCAAACACTGGAGTAGCTTTTACGTCGAATTCCTTTGGCAATAGTGGCTTGGTCATTGTGCGAACGAAAGGTAGGAAACAATTGCGAGAGGTGAGGGGATGCGCCTGGATAGCCTCACCTCACTGCACGTTCTCCAGCCCTCAAATCGTCCAACTTTAGATTCAGAGTCGACTCAACCGGTCCGTTCGGATAAGGGAAAATGATAACAAAGGCGCTTAATGTCGCCAATATATTCGCCACTCAAACTAGGCGATCCTTTCTTCACTTTGCCTCCCACTCGGCCGGGTGTTCACCAGCCTCTAGAGCTGTCTGCGTGATCCGTTTGTCACTGTGCTTAAATTCGTTAGGCCGGGATTTGTTTTGTCACGTAGTTGCGCCTTCTTAGTTAGACGCTCCGCTGATACTTCGATGCTCCACGGTGGGGAGGATATTCAAAAGTTGCAAGAAATTTTTTAAAGAGTTTTGACAGATTATCGGAAGGTACGTTTGAAAACAGTGAGCAGCCTACATAACAAAGTAAAAATGAGAACAAGCCTAGGGAGAGACCCAATCAGCAGTCATTGAAGCTGTTATTGACCTCAGAACTCCAAGTGCGAATTACTTTGGGGACAATGGGTGGCTTCACACCGTCGGGGTCACGTTCCATCAGTGATGCTGGATGGCGAACAAGTTTAGCACCAGAAAAGTGAGACGATGGACGGAATGCCAAGTTAACCACTTTTCAATCACTAAATATGTGCTGTATTTACACCCTCCATGCGTGTGTGTGTGATGTAACCACGCGACGGAAGGAAGCTGTGACCCTGGGAAATTGTGACCTATAATTCACGAAGCATGCGGGGTACATTTGGGAAAAACATCCAGGGCGTTTGTATGCAAGGCAATGAATAATACATCCCATTCCCTTGTTTTACTTGCCTCATTTAGTCATACTTCTGAACGCCTGAAAGTATTCAAAATATGCTTTCATTTCAGTTTTTGAAGGATTGTTTACAATTTGCAATGAACTATTGTCCCTAACATCGCGTGAGTCAAAAAAAGGTGTACATGGGGCTGAACTGCCGGCAGGTGGAACACAAAAGCACAAATTCACACAAGATAAATGGGTGAAAGTTTTACATCTGAGGTCGTGCTGAAACCCGGGTCAGCTTTCTCTAGATTCTATTCACAAACATGGTACTAGATGACTTCGACATATGCTCTGCGGAGTTAAGGCTTTGGGAGGATTTCATTTTTGACACATGCCCAAGTAACACTCCACCTTGACGAGTCATCTAGTCCTGTGAGATCCGCGGTTAATATATTTCTAGGCACAAAACTCTCTCCATCACCGGACAAACAAAATATTCCCGTGAAAATTGTTATTGAAAGGTGATCTAAGTCAAGTTAGCCTGATATCTGTGAATAGAGCATCATAGAAACTTCCGGTGTTCCAGTGGTTGGTAATGGAGCAATAGTTATTCATTTTCATCCTTAGTTCATCAACTACGACGATGTGAGTGGAGGGAATGTATTGTGATAGAAAAAATTGAACTACCTTACGTGAATGCATCAACATCGGTGAGAGTGCTAGATACAAAAGTGGGGTTGTCTAACAATCGGATCGGCGAGTTCGATGGAGGGCACATGAACGCAGCAGCCCCAAATCACACCACACCAGACATGTGGTTGTGTCTTCAAAAGTGAAGATGGATAAAACCTGAAATTGAGTCTCTGAAAAGTGAGAACCCACGCTGAAGATGCCGCGCATGAGCAACTGATCGGGGACAATTCTGTCTTCTGCGGCCTGGCGGTCTCGAGTTTGCAATCTAGGCAGGACAAATGAAGGTTTGTTTCGAAGAAGTCAGATTAATTACGTCAACTTATGAATCAAGCTCGCTTTTTCCTTTCACACAATGTGGCATGAATGATTCAGGTGACTTAATGTTAGTGTACACTTTCTAGTAGTGCTCTGACGATCAGAACACAAAAAACTGGAATTCCAAAATTACACGCAACAAATCGTCCAAATCGACAAATCATGCAGTCGGCCAGAATTCACCATTGACACCTGAAAAGATGCAATCTTGTTGGATCATCTACGTGCATGCAAGAAAGAGAAGAACTAGGCAAATGAAACACTTCCTTTTCGACCGATCACTTCCATTTCCTCGAAAGCAGGAGGATGGCTGAAGTTAAAGATGTCGCGTTAAACACCACTGCAGACGCCTCGAGTGCTGCCTGTCGAGACACATTCATTTCTGCTCGTCCTAAAGTGCAGCAGAAGTGTGTAAACAAGTCGCTTAATTGAAGTTTCACTTTTAGAGCCTAGACGGTTCGATGTTTTCGCCAGCATCTGCACGGATTCGATTCACAAAACGATGATTCTTTGATGTCAAACAAAGAGGTATGCACCAGGTCCGCACCAATCTGAGAAATAAGATTAAGCGGTGTTAGCTTTCGCCATCACTTCGGTGGAGCACTCCAGTACAAACCCTAGCATTCAACCACAGCACAAGGCCAGACATCAAATGGCAGAATGCATTTGTCCTTCTAATACAAAATGTAAATAATATGCTCATAGGTATCCGGTCAAACTAAAATGGTTGTACAGTGAAATCTGATACTTTCTCTTGCAAAATAGGCACAGAATGAGTATGCTGGTGAGTGATTGTGACGTCACAGCCAAGGAAGGGGAGGGACGAGTACTCCCCGAGTTAATCAAAGGGATGTCTACCACCATAGACCCCCACGCCGTTACTCCCACTGGCATCAGTCGCGTTAGCAGAAGCAGGAGAAGGCGTGGGAGTGGTTGCAGCCATCCTGCGATAAACGAGAAGCCAGTCCCTCACGATGTCCTCTACTAAGCAGTGTCTCCTTGTTGGCAGACACAGACGAGCCAGGAGCAGACCCCGACGGGTCGACATCGTCTCCAGCCGATCACGAAGGAGTTGGGTATCGCTTGGGGCCTGCAAAGGGAAGTGGTAGTTCAATTCACCGTCTCCTCTTAGCAAGGCATTCAGTGAACGTAGAGGTGCTACCCACCCGCCTGACGAGAAGCAGGCTCAAGTACTCTGTGAGTCTCTAGACATGGGCATCTCCTTCATAGGGCTCACATTATCATCTTGCGCACATTTTTAGATCTTTCTTTCATGACATCACGTCTCATAAACATGTCATCAAACACGACAACCGCCTTTCCAAAATCCACGACAATTTGGCGAGAGCTTGTGTTTTGAAATGCGCGATAATGGAATAAACACGAAGTCCACTTACAATTTTTAAGCAGTACCTCACAACAGATATTTACTCTGCACCCCTACCGAAGGCTCCACATACCAAATAAAAACCCAGCTTCGACGCCAATATCTGATCCAATTAATCTACTTCTGACAGTCGGTTCCATGATACGACTTTTTAGACAAACTGGAATGTGGTAGGAGGCCGAATGAAGGTGAGCAAACATCGGCCAAAATTTCATTTTGCGAATGATCAGAAAAGCTTTATGAAATGTGAATTCGCCTTTTTACTATGGATTCTATGATTAAAATATATATGTGGTGAAAGTAAAGTGCCAAAATGGATAAACTAGCCACCATCCAAATCTACCTTGTCTCCATTTTGAGCTCTAGCACGAATACATCAAATCTATGAAAGACGACGAAAGGACATGCCATTCCCTTTGAAGGAGTTGCCACCTAGAATGATCCTGTGAATTGTTTTCCTCCTTAAAGGTGGCTTACAATCGTGAAAGAGGATTTCCTCTAAGGATAAAATGAGAAACAACATTTTCCGCCATTACAAACCTTGATTTAGCAAGCGATTTTAAGATAGGCCTCAAAAAAATTCTAGGACTAATGTGAATCATCGCAATTCAAGTTGGCTTTTCCAAATCAACATCAGGCATCAATTTAACGGTAGTTTTGGGAAGAGTCTTTTTTCATGTTCATACGAAGCTTCAAGTTTCAAACCTAGGAAAAAATGACTAAAAATCCCAAACATTTTGGTCAATGGACGTTTTTTCAACACATTTTACAATTTTAATGAAATGAAATAAAAACCAACACAAGACATCGCATTGACCTAAAGTTATGACAAAATCAGCAGTGGGATTCGGCGATTCCGTACAAACTGCGAAGGTATTCCATTTTGAGCAAGTGTTTCGATAGTTTATACAAGAATTACTGCAGAAAATAGGCAACCCTTATAAATGGACAGCATTGAGGTGTGCTCGATCCGACCAACCCTGTCGCTTATTATGTAGCAGGGCTGACGTTCGCCTGATATGACCGCGATGTCATAAAGGAGGTAGCGATGCACAGAAACAGCAACGCACAACAGCGTATGTGAATGAATGAGCATCACTTTGGCAGAAAGATAGAAAAGGGAAAACTGCACTATCACCTTTTCGCAGATTTATTGGATGGAACCACAAGATTAGCAAGAATATGAAGGTGGAGGAGAAAGACGAGAAGCCCATTAAGCTGCATAAATGGAAAATAAAAAGGGGCAGATTGAAAATCGTACTATGGGTGACTCAAGTGAAAAAAAGTAATATCTAATCGATGATTTGGCGCCTTTCGGATGGAATAAGAGTAGTATTAAGAATGCGAAGTTGACAGAGCCTGGGGAGGAACCACCAGAAGGACGAGATTAACAATGACTAACTACAGTACTTATGGGAATGAAAGGTGAAGAGAGTAGTGAACTCATTGGAAGGAACACGAAGAAGTGAATGAGGCATTTACAATAAGAAAAGCCATCTGATAAAAAGGTGACAACATCGATGATGGAAAAAGCGCAAAGCCTACCACAGCACTTTTTGAGGCGAAGGGGATCGGCAGCGGAGTACCGTGTCGATCAAAAAGGGGCAGATAGATCGAGCATTCAGAGACAGCGGGAAGGTGGAGCGGATCGCACCGCTCAGCTGAAGCGCAATCCTCCATCTCCCCCTCCGATTTTGAAACAGCGGCAGCTGCAGAGGAAGAAGCGGTAGATGTAACGGTTGAGGCGGGGGTGACAGAGGAGCCATCAGAGGATAAGGAGGAGGAGGTAGATGCGGGTGAAGCAGGATTGCGAGGTGGCTCGATAGGAACGAGGGCGGTGAAGTGACCTCGTGTATAGCCGAGGATTACAGGATCGCGGGAGCAGAAGGTGGACTCCCAGAGCAGTGGAAGATAAACCCCTGAACAGCAAAGGGGAAAACCATAATCGACTGTGAGAAGTACAGTTTACCCCCATTTTGCACTTATCCATCAACCGATTATTCAAACATGCTGATAGTCAGAATGAAGATCTTTATGGGGCACAGGAACAGTGAAAAGTAGGAGCATCCCAATTGGACATAGAATTGATATTTATGAACCCGTAATGGATAGATAGTAGTCTGAACAACAACAAATAATGTAGATTATTCTATCAAGCAGCAGTCAAACACAAATTCAAAATAGTAAAATTCGACAATTAAAAAATTTTATAAAGCAAAGTAGCAGTCAACGAAAATAAATCTAAAAACTGGCAAAAATCGACAAGAAAAGTTGTTTGTCGTCGGTCTTGATATTTCACTATCCAATAACCAGGAGTTTTTGACCAAGTGACGATAAGCCAAAGGCAATCCCGCCTGGGAGATTTCAATGTGACTTTTATTATGACAATTGGTACGTCAGAATCATTCCTAGTGATGACCTTGATTCTTAAAAATTAACTCCATTCCATTCAGCCAAACGGACAAGTGCACTATCCTCTCAATTCGATCTGAGTTTGGAAAAGGCTATTTATTCATTCGTTACATGGGTGCTTGAATAAGTATCAGGCGGAAATCGACTTATAAAAATGGGTCTCATTTTAACTGAAGAGCGACCTATATCATTGCAACAACGTATTTGTTTCTCAGTCCCCTACTTTCCAGGAATCTCAAAAGACTTTAAAACACGGAAAACTTGCCAGATGGCAAAGCGGAGGGAAGGCTCTAAACACAACAGAGTTGCATAAGGTCATGTGATTTGGTTCTACAAAACAGCGTACACGTCGTAAAGCAAAGCACAATCACATTCTTGAGGAAAGAAAACAGGCAAGTACTACGTCAAGAAAACGCCACCAGCTTTGAGCCAACATAAAACAGGAGGTTGCAGACGCAGTAGACATGCTATCGACGCATAACAAACAGAAAACTAACCAATAAACATAAGAAATAATACAGTAGTTTGGGGAGTCTGCCTGAGTTTTTAATATTCGAGCTGTACGCATCAACATTCCAAGAGACTTATAAAAAATTACAAAACTGATCCATCAAAACGTCATAAACAAAAGCAAAAATGTTTAACGGTCTTTCAAAATTAGAAATAGTCAGTAACATATAACCACTACATTAAGTGGGATATACTTGAAAAATGATTGGTTTTAGTTTCGCAAACGAAGAACTACGAACCCATAGATTGTCCAGAGCTCTACAGATCGGTTCAAAAAAACCATCCAACGACAAACGACCTTCGGGAAAACAGGCACTCAGCAGGTGCGTGGCTACGATATCGAGAGCTAATGGGAACTGTTACTTCACATTTTCCTTACAAATGAAGCGTGAAGATATTGTTAATGGTGTAGCTCAGCAAAAGGATATTGTCCATCAGACACCAAGAAGGAACAAGAAAGCCACGCAGCACGACAGCACTCTTAGGTCACGTGGAATACATAATGTCACGCATACTTCGTGCCCTGCACAAGTAAGATTAACGCGAAAATTTTTGAGAGAACGACGAAAAGGGATACATTTGTATAAATGGGTTTGTTATAGCCATGCTTATGGAAGGTTCAAAAGTAAAGGGAACTTTTAGCTAAACAACTTCTTCCTAGAAGTGGAAAATGAGTTCCCTTTACATGGATATGCTTACTCCAGCTTCTAAATAGGCTTTGTTCCTAAAAGTAACTTCGACACAAAAAGACACCCAGCATAGCCCAAATTTTTCAAGTTATAAGTAATCGCGGATGGATGTGCTATGTTTACTGTTCATTCAGCTATCACAACTGAAACTGTCAAATAAAAACAGACGCGGTCGTCCTCGTGACGTTTGTACTGCTGAGCTACTGAACATCCCATTACCTTACTGTGTCCGAATTTTTTTGTACGGTTAGATACCTGGGAGCTTTACGCTCTAGCCAACAAGGATGTATGGAGTGGACCACGACATGAGCGTCGGCCCCCGATACGACAGTTTCCACTGCGTGTAGTACCAGCATGATAAATTGCCATCTTATGGAATGCCTATTAAATTAAGAGTCCCGGTTTGTCTTATATGATCCTCATATATGCAAGCAACAAGATTCGGACGAGCGATGAAAGAAGAGGCAACTACATAATTCTCTCAATCAGATATTTAAAACCAAGCTGCATACTTTTCCAGTCGTGGCACTTTAAAACAGGGTGTTGTATGTTTGGATTTACTGACATCCGTGTTGTCTTCTTTTACTATTAGAAAATAAAGGAATGAACAACTGCCTCAAACTATTATTGAGCATGAAGCTCAACACGCTATATGCTGGACAAAAGTTTACGTATGACAGGGATAGACGCTGCTTTTCTTATCACAGTAGGTGTAGTGTAGGTGGACAGAAAGTTGGGCAGCGAAAAACAACCAAAAGCCACACCCAAAAGACAAGATCAAGTGAAACTAGTGCAGCTGGAAGTAAAAGAAATTATAGTCGACATCTAAAGGGAAGAATTCATTTTTATTTTTACAGAAAAACGCATGTTCCCAATTAGGGCGATTGCAAACTTTCATCTCTCTGCTAGATAGCATCCGTTACCCTGCTCACGCCGCATATACCTCTAACCTGCCAGTCATTCTGTATGCTGAAAAATAAGGCCACTTCCTTTTAAACCACACATCATGCGATATTTCCACCCATGCTAATGCATGTTTACTCTGACCTTCCCCTAGTATTTCGGCTCCCTATGCTCTGTTAACGATGTGAATGTCAAATCAACCACAAGCAGGTGTCTTTTTGGGGGTAAAGCTTGTCAGGTGTTAATACACCTTCCTCCATCCAGACCACACCAACTACTGACCTTCAAAGTTTGCCAGTCCGATTGGTTCGTCGCGGTAGTTGTGGATGTACTTGACACCATATACGATGATTGGCCTACGGAGGACGTGCGCAAGGACGAAGATGTGAATTTGCTCCAGAGGTGAACCTAGTAGAAGAAAGAAATCAACTGCCCCATGAAACAACTCTTATCACGGACAGCAGAATACAACAAGGACACCATCAAATAACCTTATAAAGTTCACATACACGAACATGAGATGCATTGGCGTAAGAGGCTTTCGTTTTTCAAAAAAAAAGCACCCACACGCACTATATGGTGGTGAAATAGCACAAAAAAATCGCGTACAACGCGTTTACCAATGCAAAACGACTTATTCCTAAGAAATCACAGACTTTTTCAGCCCCAAAATTGAGGCTCCAAATCTGACACGGAGCACAAAAGAGCTGTCGACCTCTTGACTAATAGAAACATTGAGTTCGCACAGCAGATAAAGAGCATCAATACCAGGGCTCTTGGCTAATTGATTAGGTTAATGCTTCAAATTCAACCACAAGACGTGCTGTCCACAAAGACATTTATAACGAAAAGAGGGGCAGTTACTATTTGGCTCACAACTGTGACGCTCAGATTTCCTCACCCGAGCTACCACTTAGCATGTTTAATGAAAAACGAAGTGGATTAGAATAAGAAAACTAAAACATTACTCCATGGTCCTCGATTCTCCTGAGAGGCAGTAACAGCGGACGTTTTGAACACCTAGCGGTGTCGCTATATGGTCTAGATAGGAGGGAATAAGTGGTCATTTTGTGGTCGTGTAAACCCCAACATTTGGCCTTCTAGGTCTTCCGATACCAACCCCTTTTAATGTTACGTTTAGAATTTCGTTGAGAGGATCACTCATGAATATGCCTACGGTACCAATAACTATCTTTCATTTGGGGGGGACTACCATATTTCTGCGGTCTTTAAATGCTACCTGCAAGGAATTCTATATCAGTACATTACCTTTTGATTTAATTGTTTTCGCAAATAACCAACGCACCTAGTACGATCGTACGACCCCTTTATTGACTGCAAAACCTTCAGCAATCATTACAGCTATGATTCCCGAATTTGGCCCTACCCTTCGACTCAACTGTCAATCAACCAATAGAAAGCAACTCCCTCTTTAAGGGAAAGGGGCCTACGGGTTAGACTGGCTGCGGTCAAAGCAGAATGCCAATCTCGAAGGAGTTGCTCTTCATCCGGTTGATATTGGCTAGCGGCCTGATGGACTTCGTGTTCACGCCAGATTCGGTAGAACTGCCCCTCGCAAGCTCTTATGCTCTCGGTCAACGCATGACGCAAGGTACTCTGCTGGTCGAACACTCCCCAGCAGGCCTATTCGAAAAAGAGGAACTAAGTCAGTGGACTCATTTATGTGTGTAGGTGTGGGTGTGATAACGGGATGAAAACCACGTTCGCTGACTGCAGAAGGGAATGATGACGACGGAATACCATCGATTAAAACGCGGTTTCACAAAGTGCAGCCTCAAAGCGAAGCAGCATAGTTCTCACGTGTTAGGTTCGTGCCCGTCTCAACCACAAGATATCTCGCCTGATGCCTTAGACTTGGAATGCCAGCTGCATCACGCACACCTAGCAGTGTTCCGAGTTTCAATAATTAAGATTCCAGTGATGGATAAGTTAGGACCCAAATAATCCAAACATGACAAATGAACGTCAGAAGATTGTACACCCTAATGAAAATAAATGTGAAACCCGTTGTGGATCTACAAACATCGTATAACTAGGTGATACAAACGAGTAAAACAATTACATTTAACAGCTTCGTAAAAGCGTTCATCTGGTTATCTTGCATTAAGCCAAAGCAAAAGATTATGGTAAGAATCTGCTAAACATTATGAAATATGAATGAGCAACACTTCATGTAATTGATTTTGATAAGATTCAATGATACAATAGTGAATAACAGTAAAAAGCAAGTTTCACTGCTTCCATAAGCCAATTGTGGAAAGCTTTCACCACAGAGTAGTCGGGAAAATATCAAGGGTTGAGTTACTCTTATGCAGAAGTCAACTTTTTCATGCATTTGAATGATGTTCAAAACGTTTTCACACTTCACTTTTTCTTTGGAAACAGTCAAGACAGAAGAATTAATAATTGATCTATTTCAAATGAGTTTTATAAATAATCCTGTCTGGCAAACAGGCTGCTTTCGCATTTTAGCACTGGCCTACACTGAGTACTGTAAGTTGGTGTGCTAGAGTCACAAATCCACCGCCAAGAACGAGGCTGGTATGAGTGTCATATTCTCTATCTCATGGAGTTGCCTATGAGTAGATTGGAAAGTTCGGAAATAGCTGTGCAAGTATGGTGGATTCAATGCGTTCTGGCTGCCGAATCAGATACATCCACAGTCAGAAAAGTAAGGGGAGCCCTGAACTGATTCATAAAATGAATAACAGCTGAAGAGGCTACAAGAAAAGTTCTATGTAAACTAACTATACTTTTCCTTGGTTCATCATAGCCCCAACGTATGTCAGCCGGATAACTAAGCAACTGAACTCAGCAGCAATCTTTTGCTTACATTACAATCTTTCCATACTGCAAATAAATTTAGGTTGAAAGGTAGTCGGGTGACAACATTCTTCATAACTGTGACATCAATCAAGTCGGAAAAATCTGACCTTAGCACAACGGTATCAACTCAAAGGCAATGTAATAATGCAGTTATATCTTGCCCTACAATTACAGAGTCCTCAAACTTTATGAAATCGAGGTGTGACACGAATACGAGAAACTCCTACAAAAGCACCACATATTGGATCTCCTAAAAACTACTTAAATACCTGCATAAGGCTATCCAGCAAGCAATCACCGTCAGTTCGATTCCATAGGGCTAGAAGTCGACTGGTAGGCTGATTTTGTTGTCCCTCAACGACCCACCAATTGATCACTTGGCTTCGAACCTCCAGTTCTGAGGACACGAAAAAGAGGAGAATAAATGAAGGATACAATCACGAATTCCGTCTAATGAAGCAGAAAACTAACCATTTTGAACCTCAGTATCACAGAGCTCTTTTAACATCACCTCCCGTGATGAGCAGGGCAAATCTCTGATCTCTGAGGGGAGATAAAAGGTACCGAATTCAATAAGGTAGGAGCAGCGAAATGACCCCCTCCGTTGACGCACACATGAGTCCAAGAGTCGCCGCAACTCCTTTGCTGCACAAGCGCTTGACTGGCAGACCGAACGCTTGGCACCTGGCCTTGTCAGAGAGCTTGTCGGATAAAGGGCCGAAAGACTACTGACCCACTCGGTCCGATTATAGAATCTCGCTAAGTCAAGTAGCGAAAGGCCAGGTTTGAGGACATTACTCTCGCCACTTGACCACTGTTCCAGCATCTGACAGTCCTGTGGGGTGAGTTGGCGAGAGGAGAGAGGAGACAGAGATCCGGCAGTGAGAATAAACTTTTTAAGAACATCAGAATCACCCGTGATGACGGCCTTGCATGCAGAAATCCAGTCGATGGTGGAAGTGATAGTACAGCTGCTAGAGGAGGCAAGAGATGATGGTGGAGGAGAGGATCTACACATGACACAGCGCTTGGATTTCGGCCAATTTTCATAAGTGCATGAAGGACAGATCCACTTAACGACACCCAATGACGTGAGGGATGGAGAAGAAGGTAAGTAGTCAGTAGAGGGCTGCTTTGAGGTGGAGGCAAGGGGTGAAGTGGTGCCGCATTGAGTACAACGGCCGGATGCGGCCCAGTTGTCATAGGTGCAAGTGGGGCAAGACCAACCCCCGCTGAACAACTTGGAGTTGCTCGTATCAATGCAAGGTGACTTGTTCTCCACTGGATGGTATAAGGTCTGCCGTGGGGCGTCACAGAGAGTGCAACGTAGGGAACGTGGCCAATTCTCGAAAGTGCAGCGGGGACACGCCCATTTTCTAGCATCCTCGGCCATTTTATATTTCTGCCAAAAGATCGACAAGTGCCAAAATATCACAAATTCCATGTATACCTATTCTTATGTAGGTATTACTGGAATACTGTGTGGAAGAAAGCGAAACGGTAAAATTCAGTTCCTGTCGAATATCCCAATGCATGTCATGCAGCAAACAGCTGATCAACTTCACACTAACCCTTACAGAGAATGTGAAGATGTTTACGCGCGGGGGCATAAGGCAGGAGCTGATATTGTTTACAGTTTAACTCAAATTATGGAAGGTACTTCGCTCAATAAAGTGAAGATTGTAAAATGATGCAACGACCCAGGAAGAAAACAAAAAATAGTCACATCACTTATGAAATACAAAAGTTCCGCACAAAACTTACGAAGGATTCCAAGGGGAGACTAGAGCGAACGACTGCACAAAGCAGAAAACCAACCTCGACTAAGTGAAAACGCGCTGCCCAAGCCTCATAAGGGAGTCGGTTTAAACTATGAACTATGATATATTTGGCCTGCAAATTTATCAACATAGGATACAATTAAGTTATAAGAATATTCAGAAAATATAACCTTTGCGATGCGATATTACTTGCCAGTGATTTCTAAGGAATGGGGAATTTTGTGCAAAATGTCTGTATTCCTCCTTATTCCTTCCGTTTAGCCCTAACTCGAAGGACATTATAATGCACCGCTAGATATTCCTCTATTTTACTTCAAATGTCTGTTAAGATTATTTTGAGCCTTAACTACGCACCATAACTGCAGGACGAGGCTCGTAGACCTCCTCCTCCCCCACAGTCTTAGAACACCCAGGTTGATTTGACTTCGACAGGTTTATTAGGATAAGTAATTGGCTGAAGCAAGTACAAGTTCAGGGGGTGTGGACACAGAACCACTCTCTGGGCTGCAGCGCGATGACGCCTCAGTCAGGAAGTTCAACTCGTATGCCCGCCTCCTCACTCTTAAAATAGTACCAAACATTTTAAGTATTGCGGTAACTGTACCTAGCAACCTGTTTCCTTTTATCCTGTTGGGGATTATCATGAGCATTCTTCATTATCCCCATATACATCTTTACCTATATTTTGTTTAACACTGCATTTGAGTTGCTATGTTTGAGCATACTTTTCCCTGCAGCTGCATTAAGTTAATCATTTACTATTGGTGTTTATCTACTCTGTAGGGCTTTTTAGAAAATTTGTTGTCAATTATAACACAAGTCATAGTCCAAATAATAGCTAATTGCCTTTGGGTGTCACCTTGGAGCTATCACTTATTGTTAGTATGGATCTACCTAGTCCCCGGGCGGTGCGTTTTTCACCCCTCTATATTTACAGTTTTGGTTTTCTACGAGTTAGCGCCTAGTGTATGGCATGTGACTGTGTTTCCTCTTCCCACAAGATATATTTTCTGTTGGTTTAGCCTATAGCGCCATTACTTCATGTTCCCCTTGCAAGTGAGACCCCATCCTGTGTATTTTTTTCCTGTTCTAAGCAAAGATTATCCATAGTATTTTTGGAAAAGGAAGCGGGCTATTTACAGACTGGAAACTTTGTATGGCTCTTGGCAGTTTTTAGCACTCAAATGCTTACTCCTACTGGATGTGTCAAATGAACATTTCTACTCAACCACCAAGTCATTAAGTTCTAATTCAATGATTTCTTTCAGTACCCTAAAATGTACAAACCCCATATGATACATCCCACTCTTATCATTATTATTGCTATCATTGATGAACCATCGGAAAATGGTTTTGGTGACCTCCTCAGTTCTAATTTTAGCGGGAATATCTACTATGTGACTATCACAACTTGTCATTATTTTAGGAGGAAAAAGCCGTTCTCGAGTCAATCTACACTCTTGATGAGTTGAGTATCTCAGACGACTACAAAATCCAGTTTAGGGTAATCGTAATCCCAACCTTCTACGAATCACCAAACGCAGCTAGGCACTCCTGGCACTCTTGGATCTTTTGTCGTCAACATCACATGGCCCAAAGGCTACCCTTTCACTCCCCCAGTCGTGGATTTGGACGAGTTTTGTAATCATCACGTTCCCCAATCCATGAGAGATTCCATCATCAAGGAGCTGAATGAACTGGCATTGGAGAATAGCGGAGAACCTCTGACATTCACTCTTATCGAACATTTGCGAGACAACATAGAGGAGTACGCAAAGCAGTTAAAGGAGTTCAAAAAACGTAATACTGATTCAAGTATAAAGCAGGCAGAGACGGAGGAAGCGATGGTTGGTTGGGAGTTAACTTCCGATGCCTTTATTAGGTCAAGAGGGCAACAGTGGAGAAGGAGGTTCTGACGAAGGCACAGAAAAGGAAGCAGTTGAGTCGATTGGACGAGACAGGAAATTTGCCGAGAGGATGGAATTGGGTTGACGTTATCAAACACCTGAGGCAGACTGGTACTCAGGCAAATCCTACGGCTTAAATCTGGTTGTTTTCATAAATGCTCTGTGCTTTCATTGACGCTTTGAGTAATTTTCTGAGTAGGGGTACCTCCGAGTATGCAAAAATAGATGCAGATGATCAGAAACCAGAGTAGGATAAATTCGAGCGCGACACCTTTAAAGTACGTGTTTAAGCATCCCCAAGAACATATTTCTATTTCTGATAGTCAATGGCTAGAAAACTAGGCCCAATGTTTCACAAAGCCATTATCAAACCGAGTCCTGGACTTGTACCGACGAAAACGTGTTCACGATATAATTGGCCTGTCCTCCGTACAGAAAGATAATCATTCACCAACGACATGGTCTACCATGCTCTTAACGGCTCTCGCTAGGCACGCAGAGCTCTCTCGGGAATTTGCAATTTACGTGCGGATCCTGCTTCGAAGACAAATCGGTTTTGTGAATCTTCACTTCCATTACTGATTATCGAAAAGTCGGTAAGTGTAGCACCTCGCAGGTGGATGCTTCCTCATAAATGACGGAAACGAATGCTATGAGACAAAAATAATCAACTAGGAAATCAAAGTCGTTTACCAGCGACACGGCAGCCATAGGTCAAACTAGTGGACATTCATCGACACCTAAAGCTGGATGTCTTACCAAAATACGGTAAAGATTGGCTGGGTACAAGAGTGTAGGACACGGAGGGGTTTATGTTTGGAAGAATTCGATCATGCCAGCTAGAGGTGCGAATCGACGAAATCCCCATGGAGCCAGTCGCCCATTAGTCTCCCAATGATGCAAGCAGAAGTAAACATGCCAACTCTTCAAATGCTTAATCTTGCGTGGGCGGAGTAAAGGGCACCACCAAGTTCAACCTGTACATTGTGAGGGGCCCATGGAAGGAATCAACACCGTCACTGAGGCGAGTCCAACTGCGTAGAGCTAGTGGTGGGTGGGATGAAAGCCCTCAATAGAGACCCAAATTTATGCAGAGAATTAGTCAAGAACGTGGGCGCTATTTCTAACAAGCTGAGCTGTTTTATAGCAACAATGAGTAATCAGGCCTAAAAATGTTAAGGGGATTTCTTCTACGTAGTAAGGGGAAAGGAGCCGCAGTTCCAGTGACCGACCTTATGCAGCGAAAGAATAAACTAGGTAGGGCTTTATACAGCAGAAAGAAAAACACGACACTGGGAAGATATCTGTACAAGAAATGGACAATGTTACTTTTTGACCAGCAATCTCCTCCTAACCACACGTTTGGAAGTGGATGGGAGCGATTCCCTCTCCATTTTGTTTTCCATATCTTCCATCTCGATGTCCATCTGCTCGACAGAGTCTTCCTGCTTACTCTCAGCTGTTTCAGATTCCCTTGCTGAAGCAGGGTAAGCTTAATTAGAATCAACTCACCATTGGGGGCTCTAATAAGGTGCATTTGCGTTTCGACCAATTTGACATCCTCTTTCTTGCGTAATTCGATACCTTTCTTGAGCCTTTTAGTAAGAAACAGCTTTTCACGCTTTTCTTTGATATGACTAATAGTTTTTATTGCATTTACTAGGAATAAGTTCTTCTTTTGAATATCAACATACATGTTGTAACTAAATTCTCGCGACTATACTTCTGAATGACATTCCTCTTCCTTTCAAAAGTCTGAGCAAAGTCATCGCTAAGGTCCTTTTTGGCAAATTTTCTATAGGTTTTAGTCCACTTTGTCTTTCGTGGTGCTCTCTTTCTCTTAAAAGCCTTGTGGCATTTGCCGCGGCAGAATCGAAACTCCTAAAAGCGTCTATACAACTTCTAAACATTACTTTGCAGTCGTTTCGAACAAACATTATTCCATGACCCGGATAAATGGGACTAGAACAGAACCAACAGCGATAGATACGCATGTTGTAAAACTAACACGGTCCAACTCTGGCTAGGAGCGCACCGTTAGAGGGAGGATTAGCCAATCATAACTTGGGTTGGAGGATTCATTCAAACATAAGCCCGTAAAAGATAAATAAATTTGGGTTAGCTGATCAGGTATATAAATAAAAGGCCCCACAGAATTACTAGACTACGTATTACAAACTGAATTAGTGCCATTACTGGCAGAAAACGAGCAACAAATTAGTCATCGTTCATTTAAGGCCGTCTTTACGCTTGACCAGCTTACAGTGACAGCTTACTCTATTTATTTGGGCAGACAAGTCTAACTATTTAACCTGCAGCTTGCTTTATTTTTCAAAAGTGCTTCATTTCTATGACATCAACTTCAAGTGGTACGCAATATCTTCCCGAGGTTTCCTTATAAACAAATCTGAATATTTTGGTGGCAAATGCAAAAAACTTTCCATTTATCCTTGTTTCCGTATACAAATAGCAATTTGTTTGTTTTAAACTTTTGGCTCCTGCAAGAAAGAGCAGTTGTAAATACTGCCAATTATTAAATTTCAAACAGCGTCTTTAAACCTCAACTACTCTTTGATAGACTTATAAGAGCACAATTTGGCCTACTAGTATGAGAAATAGTTTATTGTTAGCGTATAAAAGGATTAGGGAGCTGTACCACCCTCCAGTCCTACCTGACGCTGGTGTGGAGAAATGGGTATTGCTGAAGTACAGAAAACTGAGATCACCGGCGTGATACATATACTATACTCCTGAGCGGATGCAAAATGTGCTGAACTTAATTATCCGCACAGTTGAACGCAGGGTTAAACAAGCACTCACAGCACCACATAGCTACGGGTGTGGCTAAAGTGCGACATAGACAATTTTGTTTACATGCAGGTAAATCCTTGAAATGAAGTAATTTTCTGCCTTTGCTTTTATGTAAGCCAATAGCTTTACCGCTCATGCTGCTCTATCTTTAAAAGATGATGGTGTGCATATCCTATCTAGATAGCTCTTAGTGGCAACGTTTTGGGAATCCACGTTAATGGTTAACAAACCTTTTGAATGGATACCCGGTACCTTGCCTTCGGACTAATGAGTTTCATGCATAGATAATTTCATGTTAATACTGATATAAATTTTAGATTTACAATTAATGGTTTTCAAGCTAAAAGCGTTGTGCCAAGCTGTTATTGCTTGCTGCAGTAATTAGGTCAAAAGCAAGGATTTGGTGTATTTATTCGAAAACACTTTCCTTCTGCATTCTATAATTTAATCTCAGTAAGGTAGTTCCTTGTTAAAAATGTGGGACTTGTTGATAAAAGCGCTAGTGGTTTCATCATCTGTGTCGCCAACTACCTCGCATAATCCCACCTAGGCTTCCTTCTATGTGAACTAAGCGTAGGTATTCACTATCTCTTATCACAGCATTATTTGTTGAAAGGCATATTGGGTGTCCGTCGAGGTGCTTTAATTGCAATAAATTTTGCAACTACTATTGCATGATTTCGAAGTAAGCCATACAATCCGATTAATGGCTTATTTTCGAGGTATTTCTTGGGTTCCCACTGCTAGTAAAATGATAAAGTGAAAGTATTTGTAGAGCTCGTTGATTTTAGGTGCCGCCGAAATTTCTCGTTCTAACTTTTCTCAAAGTGTAGCAATTTTCCCGAAAGAGAAGGCAGAATTTAACGGCCTCTGGGGAAGACTTTATATGGAGGCACGAACCGAATGCCCAAAACCTTACATCGTGTAGAGCGCAAAGATTTTATTCGCCTTGTCTTTTGCAACTGGCTAGTAAGCAATGGATTTGGCAAGGTTTTTTGACAAGTCGTGTTTTTTCAACTGCTCTTATTTAACCTTGTCACGAAAAGTGCTCATTTTTTGGTGGAAAAAGAATACGACATTTAGAAAATAGCCCCTCATATGGAAAATATAGCTACAAATCTAGTGAGCTATGGCGGAATAAAGTGGTGCACCGTTTTCCACTTTTCGTGTAAGAGGTCCAGCGGTATATTTTCCTGTTAAAAACTGTTAAAATAATTACTGTGGTTGGCATACTCCACCGGAATGCAAAAGTTTTGATACATTAGCAGAATTTATGAATTTGCGGCCATCTACCATGCCATCTAGCCTACCTCATTTTTCATCTGTAAGGGATAAACGGATTTGATGAGTGCAAATGACGACTTGCAACCTTATAAAGGTTAACGTTTTGTGACCTGTAGTAATGATAAGGCCATTTGGATCTACCGGAAATCTAAACTATGGGTTTGGTAAAGTTGAAACTTTTACCAAGAACTGATGCCAAATTTGACAGAAAACAATAATGTAGTGCTTTTGAATACCACCAACGCTGAAAAAAGAATGGATGATGTTCTATCGGATTGTCCACTATGGCACCAACCGTGGGTTTTAACTAAACATCTCGTCTTTCCAATGGAGAAGAGTTCCCTTTTCGGCCATACTGCCAAGCAAAGGGACTACCGGCGCAGACCAAGTAGAGGCGCAATTAAGTTTGCTTGTCAGCAAATATCAAACCAACGCCTATTATTACTTACTTTTCTGGACATAAAAAGTTCAATGCACTGCCGGTATGAAGGTGTTTGACATGTCTGTATTCCCTAACTTTCAAGCTGCCAAAATAAATACAAGGGCCATTCAAATTAAAACGATTTTGATGCACCGAACTATCCGTCCATCCATATCTAAGAAAAATTCAGTTCTCCTATATTGCACAAGAGAATTAATGGATAAGTGAGGCCTCAAGGCACACTGAAATATGAGTTACAACTGACTAACGGAGAAAGTCCGGACTGCAGGGTCTGATAATAAGATTTTTGGCTTTGGGAGCCTCTCCCAGTTCAACTGCGAGAGGCCTAGCTAAATTCGCTGCCAATTCACGCCCCTGGTCAGTCCAAAAAGAAGGAAGTTTATATGTGAAAAATCCCTTACACTCCTGGCACTCTGGCAGGAATAGCCAGAAGCTTGGCAGACGCTTCCCTTCGACCACATGATTTTGACTTGATTATGTCCCTTCCTCCACTCACCTATGCGCCCGTTTCTTTACAATATGGTGGCATCTTTTAGAGGGCTATCAAATTTTATCGAGACAAGCTTTTGTCTCTCAACATAAATCAAAGTGAAATGACAACGACCACAGAAGACAAATGAAATTCCATTCGTCTTATGCCCTGCTCACAAAATTTACCTCTTTAATAGCCAAACGTCAGTGAATTCAGATTCTCATCTTTCGACATATTCACTGACTTCGAGTAAGTTATTCATTCCTTAACCCAGAGGGCAAAATTTCCTCTTCATTAACGTTGGAATAAATTTAAGGCCTCGAAAATTTCCCTGTAAACACTACTTTTTATGACTTGGTAATCTCAGTCAAATAGAGGAAGGGTGGGACAATACCGGGACCCAGTTTGGATAGACTGCACAAAAGTTTTCAATTTATGAAAAAGTGCTAGCTTCTTTGCGCGACTCGTTTTATGCTAGAACTTTGCCTGACTTATTAGAGTGTTAGGTATTAATCATTTAAAAGGCCAAATCGGGTAGCATTAATGTTCCGCCACCGATTCATAAACAAGTTCTCGTTGTTGCTGGAGCAGCAGGTGGCTGCATACATTTAAAGAGGGCATAATGCACAGTTTTGGCAGGGTGACAATTGTAGCTTACTTGAATTTAAAAATAGAAAATTTCCCTGAAATCCCGACATGTGTGTCGACTGCTCAAAGGGAGCACGAGTGGTGGAGTGGAAAACAAGAGCTAACGAGTTACTTTCCGAAAAGAAGGTCCTCTTCTTTTGCATTGTCAGTGTTCCGCAAAGAACTGGTGGTGGGTCTGAATCGGCAACTTCTCTATCCACTAATCGGGTCCGATCGTTGTGCAGCACTGCGACATAGTCAAAACATCTGCAAAAAGTAAGGGAGAAATGTCTAAAGTCTTTCGAAATCTCTATGCTATTCTTCTGGATAAATAAATTTGGAGAAGTTTGAAGTCAAAAACTTGCATTAATATTTCATGCAAAGTTTTGAATTTTTTCTGAGTTAAAGCTGTTCGTCAACGAAATGTTGTTGACCAATTGCTGCTGAATTATTTACGACAGACTTGCCGAGTGTCAAACCACCCTCTTTATGATTTACGTTACTGCGGGCTGCTTATGCCAATTTCCACGTCACTGAGAACTGCATGTATATAATTAAAAGGGTTTTTAAGAAATTTTGTGATCTACCTTCAAAACACTATAGAGAAGTGAAACTTACATGTCTATTCGAGGTGGACTTAGGTCAAGAGTTAGGAAGGTGAGCTGTACAATTTGGAATGGAAGTCCTTGAAATAGGTAGATAATGCAATCTGTTTGAGGAGGATAAGGGGAGGGGAAATTGGGAGATTTAAAGACACCATGAAGTCGCTTTACACTCGAGAATAGGTGGCACCGACAGTCTACAACAGACAGTCAAAAGTAATTCCGGTATTTCAAGAATGGCATTTTTATCCTTAAGCGGATGTAATTTGCTGAGCAAAATAGCCAGAACGATTGTCAAATTCAAGATTTTTAGATGTTCTAGTATTTCTAGCCAAAATGTTCGTCTGACAGTGAACAACGTTAAGCTGCCATTGGAAAATTTTAAGGCACTCCTAGGCAGTAGGGAAATGCTTTATTTAATATCAAAATGAAACAGCAAGATACACGAGAATTGGGGGCAATCTTCAGGTCCAAAATGAGTTTTCTTAGAAGTTCTTATAATTTTATTAACTGGTTATCCTGCAGATAAGCAAACTGTTCTCATGCCTTCCTCTACTCTCTTCCGCGCCTTTATGAAAATGCTCTGCAGTGTCCTAAAAGGTCAACAGAATATAGCAATCGGAAGCATTTAAACAAGGATAAAATCAAGAGACCGTAATTCCGAATTAGACGTCAAACATTGGCCATCCCCAATATATGCCGCCATCCTAATCTTGTACAAAAAATATTCCTTTGTGCATGTAAAACCAAGCATCATTACTGCCACTTGATTAAATTGCTAGAGCAAGCACTTCCTATCTAAATTCTGGCATTTGTCCACAAGTTTGTCACATTTTAAAATCAAAATTATTCCTGAACTGAAACAACAGCTGAACACATTTTACTATAATCTAGTGTCGGTAATGGAAACTTTCGTGATCCGTTAGATTACTTCGATTTGAAAATACGATAAGTGCATTTGTGATTGCAATCACGCATGTAGTTCCATTTTAGAATTTGGATTTCTCACACAAACAAACAAGTTAGTAAAGAAATTTTAACAGTTACTAGAAGGCTTTTTTATGACGCATCATTCTAGAAAAGGCTTATATGGGACTTTGTCTCGTGGTGGACTCGCTGCCGGAAACAAATTCACGACTGCTTTTTCCCATGGCAAATTGGCATTTTCCCAGAGGCGCTGTTAACAGTTGATCAGTGCATAAAATCATAGCTATGGGCTTGAACTGAATTTCTTTTGTCAGAAACAGGTTTTATGAAAATATCATGTCAAACGAATGATATCAGTTCAATTTAATAAATATGCATATGTTTCATTTTTATTTTTACTAAGTGGAATTGACAATAGGAGTACGAATATCGACTTACTTGGATTCTGGATGACTACTAGGGGGTCCATGCTTGGGGGTGATCGAAGACCTAAAGATGACTGACTGCAGGCAATCAGCAAAGTGAAGGTAATCAGTTTGTCTTCTGTCCCTAGGCGACGCATCATCTCAAGGAGGAGCAATTAGGGGTCGCCATTTACTTCATCAAATAGTCAGGGCTTTGTCACTTCCTGCAGTGGACATGCCCCCGTGCATTTGAGATGCACTTGTACCTCCTCCCTCCCATTGGCTGTTGTGCCTCCGACCAATCAGAGGGTTTATCAAGAGCAAGGTTTAAATAGCTTAGAAAGTATATTCGCAACTGTTTGATATTTTGCGCTTTCAAGTGCGCTCTACCATTAATGCATTAGGCAATAAATTATCTGTTTTACTTCTTTTCCTTTACCTCTTAAGGAAGTGAGGAATGCACCAAAGTAAATTGATTGCTCAAATCAAAATACCATCTGTGGATTGGAGTTCAGGGTTTCGCTGTTTGGTTGGTCTTGGGACAAGGCTTAAGGTTACTAATCAAACAGTATTTACATCTTCCTTTGACTTTGTCAAATCTCGGATGCACAAAATTCTTCGCAAAGTCAAAGGTTCTCTTTCTAAATTGATTAAAGAATTTCAGAGAATTCTATTGCAACTACTTTGGAAATGTTGTACTTGGCTCTGTTTCTGGCAAATCGAATTAATTACTTATTTAGTATTTTTAGTAAATCATTAAATAGGGTTACAGTTGAGTACTCAAAATTCTTCTGTAGTATCAAGCGAGTGAAGGAATCCTTTTGCAACGTTAACAATCTCATTAATTTTAAAGCGATTATTGCAAAAGTTTGTTTTAAATTTTAGAATGCTAATAATGTATCATATGCATTAATAACCCTAATTCATCCTTTCACAATCGAGTCACATATAAGTGACGTCGCGACTTTCTTTTTCTTGAGCCCAGCGCCACAACTGCACGGCATGTCTGAAGCGATCCGAGACTTCCCCAGAGACAAAAAGAGGGATAATGCTGAGGCTTTCAGGAGGGCTGGGGTCTACTGACATGGTCCAGGGTCCATACCGCCCAGCGAAAATACAGAAGCGCCCAAAATGGAGAGTTAAGTATATTATCAAAGTGCTACGCATAGTTTTATCAACTTGTGTTATCTTTTTGCAAAAAAACCTGTTATATCAATTTGGATGAATTTAAGACAATAAAAGGGGTGTTTTCTGGATGGGGGTATTTATTGTTCTCCTCAACTAGCAAATTTATTCTAAAGAAGAATTCATGATTTTAATTTGTAACAGAACGGTGTATGTCTAGAATGAGTATTTAACTAGGCGAGCTCCTCGGTCTCCATAATGTGCACTTCCGTTTGAGCTGTCTAGTCTTCCGGTTGCGCCTAGGGCCTCTCGATCCTTCTGCATGGTGATAACTAGCCTCCCATCATGGCATGGCTTACTACGGCTTCATGGACGGCATTAGACAAGAAATTTTCTGTTCTCACTATTCATGAGTTTAAGCCCCCAAAATTTGACTGCTTTCTGGCTCGGCTATTTATCTAAATTTTATGGAGAGCATTCCCTAAATGTAGAACATGCTAATCAAAAGTAACGAAATGACGAATAGGACGGCAGTTAAAGGAGGAACAATTGCAGACGTGATATCAATCATTCACTTACGAAATAAAAACTCAACACCCCTTTGATCCTAACGAAATTTAAGCTCACACTAGAGTGGGCAGAACTCGGAACCTTCGTTCCCCAGTGGCGCGCCTTTACTCACCTTGGTAATCTTCGGAAACGGGATACTTTTCATCTCCACTTCACATTGTCTGATTTGAGAAGCACATGAGTTGCTCCAGACCTCATGATCGGTCTCAGCCTTTACCCAACTGCTCTTCAGAAACTGCCAAGAGAATATTTTCATTACAATAATGCTCAATCTGTATCAGGATTTTTCCATTCTTCCTTCTTCTACTTACAAGATTTGCTTCTTGTCAAGAAATTAGCAGAGAAAGAGAATAGTGAGCACTCAATTAGCAGTTGAAAGAATTATATTTTGATTCTCTTTTCTAATGCTTCTTCTTTTAACCCGGATTTTTCATTGTCTCTACCTGCAGCATTAGTCCAATGCTTTATTTATTTCCGTTCTACATTTTTTCATCGAATTTAAAACATTTTGAATGTTCTGATGGGTAAATTTCAAGGGATATTATTGAGCAGTCACTGAATTCTACCACCTTGTCCTCCACTCCAAGGAAAAAGTTGTTGTGGCCTTGATGGGCATCAAAAAGTGGATGGAAGAAAAGGGACGCTGAGGTGATAATTTTAACTTCTACTCAAAAATAAACACTTACCCGCAAGTCTGCGTGGAAGGTGAGTTCCACGGAGAGATAATAAAACAACTTTTTGATATTCTTGTTATTCTGTCTACTCTTATTTGCGTTGAAGTGATAATTAGAGGTTTGTCTACATAAAGACAGCCTACAACGGATGTGTCTCAATCTAAATAACTTCAATATTCCTAAAATTTTAATGGGGAAAATAATTGTTATTTGTGTTTAGATCCCAAACAGAAGGGATAGAAAGGGACTTTATTTTTTGTGGCTAGGGAAAGATAGCATTAAAAGGGAGATGGTATCAGACGGCACCATCGATCTGTGCACTTAACTTCCCCTTCTTCCTCCGCAGTTACGACGTTTCTGGTATCGATGACTCCATCGTATCGATATTGTGTTGCTTTGTCCGCGGTCTATCAAAGGATCCAGCAGGAAAAACTTCATAGTAAAAGGGCTGTTTTCAACAGTCCCTGAAACACCTCAACTTATCTGGTTGAGCTGTCGGCTATTTAAAACACAGGAAACTTGCGTAAAAGATTTAAAGAGTGATGCCCGCCACTCCTGATTCCTTAACAGCCAAGTTTATTCCATGCAGCGGTTACAAGCCGTTACTTCGACGTGCAAACGCAGTTTCTTCAGTGATTTCTGAAGATAGGGTGGTTGTTAAAATGAACAGGAAAGAAGGCCACCAAATGTATTCGCAAAACTACAAACAAAATCGACGTTCTTCACTTACACATACGTTTATCAGTACTCGGCCCACCAAAAATTCGAGGCTTGTTGGAAACGTACTGCTACTGTATTAGGTAGGAGTTTGTTCGTGTGGGTGTGTATTAACGCCAAGACTTCCTGCCCTCCGCTGGAGTGATTTTACCGAAGTACGAAGCAGCACTTCAGTAAATGAAATTCAAGTCGCCTTTTGTCCAATTCACTTAATTACTTATGCGCTGTTAGTCGTATGACTGGGATCTAAGAAAACGTCTTCAATACTGGGGAATCGCCGCTTTTTGCTCGTACCTTTTAAAATTGGACACTCAACATAGATCTAGTTTTGGTGTGTGTGTGTGAATCCAAAGCTAGAAAGCTCCCCTTTCAAAAACATATAATTTGAGTCTTTACTTAAATTGCCGACGAAGTAGGGCATCAGGAATTTTACTTTTCTAAAATGGACTTTATAAGTTTTATTTTACAGAATGCTTACAGTTGAAGATGTAATAACGAGGAATGTGTACCTTAAACACGCCTTAATTGCCATTGTCAGTTAATTTACCACGTGTAGGAGTTTTTGCCCTTTCGGTAGGTGACATGTCTGCAGTTATGGGTTTAATTATTTGACGTCGCAGCCCTCTCCGTCTCGAGATAAATGATTAAACGATTAATTGTCGTTGGCGGCAATCTTTTCGCTTACCTGTAGAGTGGTCTCAGAGCGCTACATTATTTAGCTACCTAGCCTTAAAGCATAGGTTATGGGCACCGAAGTACAAAGTTTGCGTGTTCACTTGACTACAGGTCTCAAAGGTTAGTGCAAAACGTTGTACAAAAGTGGTGACAAGTGCTGGTGCAGAACACTGTAGGATATTGAAAGCAGGCCAATCTTGGAAGTCCTAATCTGGATGGAAGGCAGCAGTGATAGTGCCTGCACGTATTGAGAAGCGGGCAGAGCGAAAGTCTTGAAGTACGTATCTTACGTCATTCATTACAAGACGCAATATTCAGCGGACATCTGCTCGTATGAAAGACTTCTCTTGCAGTACGGCACAGGTATGGGACTCCCAGCCGTGAAAGAGAGAGCTCATTGTTACCGTAGTAGTCGAAATCTATGGCAGCCATTCCTGTGAGCATTCAACATCTCAGCGCTCGATAAATGCTTAAGCTGCAGCAGAATCTCACAATAGATGGGTCCTTTATTAGAAAAGTAGAATACAATCATCCGCAAATCTCGGAAATTTTAAAATTTAGCTTGCGGAAGAGCTTCTAGCTGCACTGTGCCAAAAAAATATCTTAACTGGGAAAGCCAGATTCTTTTGGATCGTCTATAGCAAATAGATCGCTTTATTTTGGGACTTCAACGAAAATTCTGCAGTGAAAGCGCTAAAGTCCATCACCATTAATGGCTAAGTGAAGCAGACTCGTCTGAAATTATTCATCCATAGGGATAAATATCCCAAAGTCAAGGCCATATGCTGGCAAAAGTGTCCAGATTTAGCAGAAGGACATGTCGAAATCTAATTGCAGTCCTTCCTAATCCTCCCAAATTAGCTTATGGTTTTGTAATTTCGAAAGTCCCGGTTTGACATGAGTGGTGTTATGAAAATTTTCATTATCTCTGTAAGTGCGCAATCCGACCAGTAAATTTTATTAAAAAGTGATCATTCTTTGACCACCAAATCTCCAGTCATCGCATAAATCGTTTAACTGGGCATGCTAAAAGTAAATCTCATAAAATCCCTCACTTGTGTGGTTATTGCCTCGAAATGGCTTCTGTACTGACGTCAATCATGACTTTCCTCATGATTGACATCTATGAGCTCCCAATGCTGTGGGCCCGGTCATACTAATTAAGGTGTTTCGAGTTAAGGGAGAGATAAAGACAATTGCTAGAATACATGTGAATATAAAGGTCTTATCCTCTTCTAAATCATGCAGGTCAGAAGGCCCATGTTAAAGTGCATAAGGCGCTGCCAAAGCGGCTACCTCAACCGGAAGGATTTGCATCCACCCTCCTAGTAGGTTATCCCAAAGAAGTGAGCTGTTTTGCCAGGTCTCTTGCCTATTTGATGGAATTCTCATTGACAGCG